TTAAAGTCTCGTGCATTATACCAAGTCGCCAATATACACCGGCACTGTCTTCGGTATAATGTGTGAAGCCCATTTCTGGTGTACCCCAATATGATATTGCAGGAATATTGCTAAAGCCAGCGTAAAACTAAACTCGCCCGCACACTCTTCACAATAACTTTACCTTTTTGTAAAGAAAGATCACATAGATCAGTCCCCGCTTCTTCCAAAAGATCTTGATCAAAGATACTTCAATTAAAACACAAGATGTATAGAAATAAATTTATTATGTTCAAGAGGCTATATCGATAGGAATGTTACATGACATACAATTCAGACTAATTGTAATTGTAATGCAAGATCGTACACAAGGGCACTGTTTTACCTTCCATTAAAGTGGAAAGGAAACCAATTTCTTGATACTGAAGTGGTGAAACAGGTTACAACTATTTCGGAAGACAACTGAAAGAACAGTCCACATTGAAATGGTTTATCATTTAGGGTAAACCTTTAGTACTACAGATGATTATCAAAGCCTACAGATACAGATATTCATCTCAAACCATTTGAGGACTGGTTATGAAAAGTGAATGTGGGTTGTCACATTCTTTTACTACTACACTGAATCATACAAATAAAGGAGCATGACTGAACATGGATTTAGGTCTGCCGAAATGCCAACAGGCTAAGAAGGCGACCTCCAAAGCACATAACTGAAGAAGAAGAAGAACATGGAAGACCCCTATTGTGAAAGGTTTCATTGAGTTGATGAGGCACTCGGGCAGAGAGAAGGATGCTCATGTAAAAGAGCGTCTACACCAAAATATAATGCAGAGAGACACTTAGTATTTTAGAACACCAGTAGGACTCCGTGAATCGGAGAATATGTCGGGCATCCTGAAACATTTTAGATCTGCAGTATTAAATTCCAGTTTCATATTTTCAAGATTTTGCAAAACACAGTTGGTGAATGAGGATTGGGTTGAATAAAGAAGGTGAAATTGTAACATGCATCAATCATGAGTTTGAAAGTGGCACCTCTTTAACTTGTAAATACTTAAGGGAAGCCTTAGGAAAATAATTTGGGCAGGGCATCAGGCATCAGGCAAAATTCTGACCATTCAGCTCACAGCTTTTGACAAATTAACAGGTTCTTAGTATTTTGATTCCATCATTTACTTCACATCATAACAAAATGGAAAAACAATATGGCAGCTTCCTAGTTTCATTCTTATCTACAAAACGTAAACAGTTTGTAACAGAAATCATTCAGGCCTACAGGTCTAACATACTATGACACAAATAAGACAATATATTGTATACATGTACAAAATCAAACTTGAGTCCTTAGGTGAATGGAAAACACATCTTCCACTCACCTACCCGACAGCACCAGTCCAGTGGTTTCTGAATACTAGTATGTAAATGGGCAAGTCACAGCCATTACAAAGCAAGCACAGACTGTCAAGTCTTCCATGCGATGAGCATTTAAACGCACTGCTCAATTTGTAATTTGAAATAAACCTTTGAGATATTATATCCTGAAATACTAATGCCACATAAAATCAATGTTCTGTTCATTTGATTTCTTGACACATCTATCTATGAATCTCTTATACCTTGTTACATTTTTCCTAAATTTTAGTCAGTGTTTCAAATAAAGCCAAAAATGTTTATCTTGTCAAATAATTCCACTTGCGATAAACTAAGTTTCAAATTTGAGAAAGAAGTAAGTAGTAATCTCTTCAAACAATAATCAGTGTGCAGCAGCCTCAAGTATTCACCAACACAGACAACCTACCAGCTACAGTACTACAGAAAGACAAATACTAATCTCTCCATGAGATCCAGTTTCCATCAACATTACATATCAAATGCAGGGAACTTATGAGCAGAGAGAAGCAAGGATGGATAACACTTTGTCAAAACAGTATTTACATATATTACAGTGTTGAAAACAAGTCTCATAATGACGATCTAAAGAAATTTTAAAAATATTTCAGGACCTCAGAACATTATGGAAATACCAGTTGCTGTCGCCGTCATGTATGGGTTCTACTATAAAAATATTTATCATTCTGGTCTAAGTATCTGATAATTTAACAGATTAAGATGCATGATAATTCTTTTCAGGGCATGCAATAAAATCTCAGTGGGTACAGATTCCGTTCCCATATTATGTCTACAGAAGAGTTATCCTTCCTTGTCAACAAGGCCATGACATTCAACTGGTTCCTGTCTCTATGTGCCTCATTATCTTGTGATAAGTAGAGACAGTGCCCAGTCTACAAAGATTCTGCCTGCAGAGAAATAGTGTGGAGACTTCGTCCTTTAGAAAGGTCTATTGAGATATATTTTGTCAGGATTTCATAAGTTCAATTAAACCAAGTTAATTAGTAACCTGGATCAAATCATGTTTTCTGACTAGCTTGCGCTAATTGTCACAATGCATGGGACAAAAAATATATTTCTACAAGGCTACATTGTATCATATTGCAGGAAGACGGTATCTGATATTGCTGGCAGTAGTGACATTGATTCATCATGGTATAACAATTTAAAACGATGCAGTGGACAATGGGAGTATTGTAGCATATAAAAATCATACAATAAAAACATGTAACCAATCAAACATGTGGAAGAGAGTGAGCAAATTCAGAGCTTTGACTTTCGACTTTCGATTAAATATTCTTGGTGTACAAAGCAATGATAACTTCAGAGCGCACACACAATCATCTACAGACTGGTTGTCCCTGGCGATAACAATGATAACTTCATATTCATACTAGCAGCCGTTATGACACAGAATTATCATTTAGTTGACAAGCATGGGCATTGTCCAATCTCATCTGAGTCACTGTTAAAATACATGGTCAAATATTGCACATATTTCTACATTTTCATGGCACTATCACAGACTAATACTAAATGAACTATTCACATTGAAATAACTAAAAATAGATACATATGGTATTGTAAATTAAAAATGAAAGTACCTAACATGAGATGATGAAATTGTTTCTACATTGTATGAGTACTTTTCTTGATAAATATCTCTCTCTCTCACAGTCAGAAATCTGAAAAGATAATATCTCGCCAGGCAACACAAATCAATATATTCAGAACAGTTTCTTCTTCATAGTCTGCTAACCAGGTAGGACTCTCGCCACCTGGAAACTGTGTCCAACAAAAAGACATGGTCATCAATATCCCAGTGTTCTGTTCCTATTTGGTTCTTGTTTTTTAACTCCACCACAACATTCATGTCCTGAAAACACATACCACATTTAGTTTCCCTATCTATAACAGTTACTGAGAAAATCTGTTCCCTTTGGGGATACCGTGCACTAAGTCAAGAAACGCATGACAAGGGCCATAACTCTGTAACCAACTGTAACATTGTTTCCGTTTTAAAATTCCATCAAAGCATTTATGTCCTGAAAACACATACCAAATTTGGTTTCCATATCTATAACGTTTTTTTGAGAAATCTGTCCCCATCATCTCAGATGGACAGAGCTCAAACCTATAGCCCCCTCAGCTTAAGGTTAACCTTGTCTCAAGTGTTGGGTACAAAAGGTCCAATTGGGAATTCCACTCCCGTGGGGACTGCCAATGAACTGTTAAACTACTAACAAAAAATAAGAACGGATTGTTAAAATAAAACGGAAGAAAAACACAAGGTTAACATTCAGAAAATGATGAAAAACATATAGGTCAGAAGCTGGAGCCAGATCCAGAAAGCATTCGTAACACTACTATAATCGTAAGCTGATAAGCTATGTAGTTACAATAGCTCGTAATGCTACAAATGCTCTGTGGATCGGGACCCTCGTGTTGGCGATTGTGATCGGTGTGGGACAAGGATATAGTCTGCTTCAGTTTCACTAGTATAAGAACTGTTTTAGTTTCCCAAGGATAAAATCAGCAATATGTTAACAATGATTAAATATGCTTAAGGTTAAGGTCCGGGTTAGAATGAACCTTCAGTAACCCATGCTTGTCGTAAGAGGCGACTAACGGGATCAGATGGTCAGGCTTGCTGGCTTGGTTGAAACATGTCATCAGTTCCCAATTGCGCAGATTGATGCTCATGCTGTTGATCACTGGATTGTCTGGTCCAGACTCAATTATTTACAGACCGCCGCCATATAGCTGGAATATTGCTGAGTGTGGCATAAAACTAAACTCACTCACTCACATAAGGTTAACAATGATGTTTTAGTTTCAGTAGTATAAAATCTGGATTAGTTTCACAAGGATAACATATATTGTCAGTGCACAATACCTGATGAGTGTATCTGAATGTATTGCTGAATGTATCTATTGGAACAGAAAACCGAGGAACATGTCAACCTTTACAATGGCCATGAATAAAACTGAATTCAAATGGTCCTACAAGAGCATTACAAATAAAATCAGATGTACAATTCTGATGATAGATTTTTTATCAAAAATAGCAAGCATTCAATTCACTTCAAACTAACAAAATAAAACCCTGGCTAACAAACAAAACAATAACATCAGTGCTTCCTGTGTGAAAATAACAACGAAACAAAACACCAGCCTGTGCTACTCCTGCTACCGCAATAAACATGGCAGACACACTGTATGGTTTGTTATCCTCATCAAAGGAGAAAATAAAATTTGTAAACTATCAAATTTCATGTTATTTCCTAATGCTTGCCTAACATGATCACTGACCAACTGCTCTCATTCAAACTGTGCTAGATCACCACCAAACACACTAGGGCTGGGATTTGTCCAAATGTTCTACCCGGGTACTCCAAACCTTATTAACCCAGATACCCGTTATATTAATTCCTGACATCAAATTTGCAAGAAATGGCAATATATTCTTCAACCCGGACACTAAAATGTCGAGTTTTCAATATCTTAAAAATGTATTATATTCAAAAGGAGTGACTGTTATTATGTCTAAATCTTCAAAGACAATACAACCTTTTAATCATGAAAGAATAACATATTACATTGTTTAATCTATTACCGGTAGTCACATGATCATAACAGGTCCGGGTATTGAGATAGGTACCCGGGTACAACTCATTACCCACCCGTCCCGGGTATCCAGGTTACCCGTCCCAGCCCTAAAACACACCATGATAATATAAACCAGTGGCTACATACTCCAATACTGAAAGCAGTAATTTACACACACCCTATATCATTCTCCTTTAGATGGGCATATACTGGTATGATGAGGTAGTATAATGGCCGTGTCAGTAGAAGAGCTTGGCTTGGTCTTTCTGCACGGACGTGAAGGGCCAGTTGCTTAGGCGCTTGATGTTCATTGTTCCAGGAGGCGGAGTCCTGGAAGGTGGAAATATCACACGTTAGCTTCATAGTCAGAAACTTATTGGTCAGATCATAGAGTCAACAAAATATTGGTCAGATCATATTGTCAGCAAAATATCTGTCATATCATATTCTCAGCAAAATGTCTGTCATATCATAGTCAGCAAAATATCACTCATATCATTTTGTCAGCAAAATATCTGTCATATCATAAAGACAGCAAAATATCAGTCATAAAAAATGTCAGCAACATTTCGTTCCTGTAAGATCGCGAGTATCATGTCTTATATGAGCACAATGCCACACATTTTCATCAACAAACTAGGTTTTCTGGGATAATCAAGCACCATTGGGTTGAACTTTAGGGGTCTACATAGATACTTTGAGTTATCCAAGGTTTGACACAACTGAAAAATATATAAAAAATGAATGTCATGGTGTATGAAATATGCAAAAAATAGTTATAGAGAAATTGCTTATAAAAAAACATTCAAGAAAAGTCTTGAAAGTCTATGAAGAAAATCCAGTTAACCATTCTTGAGATATCTTGCTGACAATCTTAACATACTGAAATCTTCAAAGTGTCGCTATGACCTTGTAAATTACATGAAGGTCACCAAACTCGAGGGGGCCCTGCACCTTCCTTATATGAAGCTTGGTGTCAAATATGATGAAAATCCAGTGAATGGTTCTTGAGATATCTCGCTGACAAGGGTAAAACGTTCAAGTCCCCTTGTGACCTTGAAATGAAGGTCAAGCTCATCAAACCTGACCGGGACCTTTCTTATACTGTGATGAACCTAGGTACTAAGTATGAAAAGAATCCAGTCAATGGTTCTTAAGATATTCCAATTCGTATGGACGGACGGAGCCCAATACTATATTCCCGCTTCGCGCTAAACGTGCGGCAGGGGATAATAAAGAAAGAATACAAAGGGACTAAGCTTTTACTTCGAGACACTCAGTGAATGAGTGAGTTTAGTTTTACGCCACACTTATCAATATTCCAGCTATAAGGCGGCGGTCTGTACATAATCACATCTGGACCAGACAATCAAGTGATAAACAGCATGAGCATCGATCTACGCAATTGGGATACAATGACATATCGTGTCAACCAAGTCAGCGAGTCTGACCACCCTATCCCGTTAGTCGCCTTTTACAACAAGCATGGGTTACTGAAGATCAATTCTAACCCGGATCTTCACGGGAGACATCCTAAGTATGACACATCAAAGTTTAACACAATGCTGTCTGACTTTGTCAATCTATTAAAATTCACAGTTGACATGTTATGAGAATATTTTTTAGTATCATGGAAAACTACCCTCTCAAAGTTGCAATGGCAATACAAGAAGGAAAAAAAAGAGCAGTCTCATGGGAGATAACTCTGACTGCAGTTGAAGTACTACTGTACAATGAATATCTTATTCTGAATGAAATGTTCTTTCCAGTGTTTAACAGTGTCACTGATGGTTCATTCCGATCCTATATCTACATACTAAAGGAAACAAGGTTGAAGTCAGCATGGTAGGCTGCCCCTATTTGGTAGTCATGGAAACAGGAGTCATACACTGGAGACAACAGTGTGCACTTCTGCATTTCTGCCAATGAATGTTGAAGGAAAATATCACTTGTGAATGAATTTCTGTGTAGATTTTGTTTTAAAATGATACAAATACTTACAGAAAAATAGACTAGAATTGATTAATAATATGTCAATAAGTATCCTTTTAAAAGTGTGTTCAGTTGACCATGCAGTCGCACATCAGTCTTACTGTAAGTGACGTCCCCTTTAACCTGAGTCACAATATAACTGCTATAATATGCAATATATATATATTAGCCAGGAGATAATATAATATCAAAACTCCACATTACGTCTTCCAAATTCGTATAAGAATGCATCTATAGTACCTTTCATTGTTTATGGTGACGTCTTCCATGTCTATCCTATCTAGTTCCAAGCAGTGAGTGTGAGTGAGTGAGTGAGTGAGTGAGTGAGTGAGTGAGTGAGTGAGTGAGTGAGTGAGTGAGTGAGTGAGTGAGTGAGTGAGTGAGTGAGTGAGTGAGTGAGTGAGTGAGTGAGTGAGTGAGTGAGTGAGTGAGTGAGTGAGTCTTCCGAGTGAGTGAGTTTACTTTTACGACACTTTTAGGAATAGTCCAGGAATTATACACATATGTGGAAATGAACCCAGGTATTCCTCATGATAAGTGAATGCTTTAGCTACCAGGCTACCTCATCCGTCCCCCCCAAAGCAGACATACCAGAGGCCAAGGACAGTGAATCAGGGCTCACTGGTCAGCGGTCCAGTCTCTGAAATCTTGTGTCCCAGCAACCCCTCCTCACAGTTGTTGGTTTGAATCCCAAATTCATCCTGATTATTATTCTTGGTTTGGCAGTAGCACACATGGGTTTGACCAATGGTAAACATTCAAGGCCTGTATCATTTAGAGCTTCCCTTCCATATTAAGTGCCAGGGCCAGATACAGCTTTTTGAGAAAAAGGGTGTGTGTGTGTTTTGCACACTTCATTTTCAAGAGAGTTTCAATGGTCATTTAATAAATTTTCAGGACAAAAGGGTGTGCACCCCTGCACACAGACAGACAGACACACAGACAGACACACACACACACACCCATACCCCTCTGGATCCGCCTATGAGTGCCATTATCGAAGAAATACCATTCAATGAGACATTAAGCCCAATTCATCTCAATGACAAATCCTGACAACTTTGAATGATGACAGCCTTCATCTTTCACATATTTTAGCAATATTCAAATTACCAAGAACACATTAAATTCATGTCTGGAACTGAACATAGGTCCTCAGCCTGTCTATTAACCACTGACTAGGGCTGTGTACTGGCAAACATAGGTCCTCAGCCTGTCTATTAACCACTGACTAGGGCTGTGTACTGGCAAACATAGGTCCTCAGCCTGTCTATTAACCACTGACTAGGGCTGTGTATTGCCAAACATAGGTCCTCAGCCTGTCTATTAACCACTGACTAGGGCTGTGTACTCCCTCAAACCTGTCTATTAACCACTGACTAGGGCTGTGTACTTGCAAACATAGGGCTGTGTACTGGCAAACATAGGTCCTCAGCCTGTCTATTAACCACTGACTTGGGTTGTGTACTGGCAAACATAGGTCCTCAGCCTGTCTATTAACTCAGCCTGTCTATTAACCACTGACTAGGGCTGTGTATTGCCAAACATAGGTCCTCAGCCTGTCTATTAACCACTGACTAGGGCTGTGTACTGGCAAACATAGGTCCTCAGCCTGTCTATTAACCACTGACTAGGGCTCTGTACTGGCAAACATAGGTCCTCAGCCTGTCTATTAACCACTGACTAGAGCTGTGTACTGGCAAACATAGGTCCTCAGCCTGTCTATTAACCACTGACTAGAGCTGTGTACTGGCAAACATAGGTCCTCAGCCTGTCTATTAACCACTGACTAGGGTTGTGTACTGGCAAACATAGGTCCTCAGCCTGTCTATTAACCACTGACTAGGGCTGTGTGCTGGCAAACATAGGTCCTCAGCCTGTCTATTAACCACTGACTAGGGCTGTGTACTGGCAAACATAGGTCCTCAGCCTGTCTATTAACCACTGACTAGGGCTGTGTATTGCTAAACATAGGTCCTCAGCCTGTCTATTAACCACTGACTAGGGCTGTGTATTGCCAAACATAGGTCCTCAGCCTGTCTATTAACCACTGACTAGGGCTGTGTACTGGCAAACATAGGTCCTCAGCCTGTCTATTAACCACTGACTAGGGCTCTGTACTGGCAAACATAGGTCCTCGGCCTGTCTATTAACCACTGACTAGGGCTGTGTACTGGCAAACAAATTGTATTGTGATATATTGCGATTCAGGTACTCATATTGCAATATGTATTGCAATATAATGGGAACTTAAGTGTTTGACAGTGAGTGACACTAATCGTGCATGTCAATCCTATTTTCTACATTATAAGTCCCTACACATATATGTTATGGTTCTGATAACAGCCATCTCAAATTTAGGTGCATTGTCAGGGATTCTATTTTATACAATTTATAGTATTACAGTACAAGAGGTGGCTGAAAAGTTCTGATGCCAGCTATGAAGGACTGTATTCATTGCTAAATACATTTCAACATGATCCTTTCCAAGGTCAACCCATTTCTGGTGTCCCCCGCCGTGATGTTGCTGGAATATTGCTAAAAGCGGCGTAAAACCAAACTCAGTCAGTCAGTCCAAGGTCAACACACTTCTGTCAAGGGTGCTGGTGTGCCTGGATCCCATTGGTGCAGACGGCTTCCTCTTCGTGGTGTAAAAAAAGTAACTCCATAGCAGCAGTGATGTCAGTATCGTCTGTATAATGTTTGATAGATAGTACTTTCTTCAAATAAGGAGTAAGGTGTAAGTCGGTGCCAAATGTAGTGAATCCAGAGAATATTCAAGGACTACAAAGTCATACATCCCTTTCAGCACACTTGTGTACAATACACTTCCCGTTGTCCTTCCAGCTAGCTGGGATACTCACACAGTTGCCAAAGCAGATTAGTATGATATTGTTCTAACATTTTAGGAGGCTGTGAACTAGTAGCATTCTTTCCAATCCTAGAAAAATGAAACTAAATCCCATCGGCAGGGTCTTCTTCAAAACAATGAGAATTTACAAGAGAGATGTAGAACGTGAAGTGTCTTAGGATTCATAGCCTTTGGAACACAGGATACTGAAACTATTGTCTTTATCGTCATTCCTCAGTGCGTTCTCAGCTCTCTCACGGGCAATTGCTTTATAGCTTTGTATTTGACTTTGTAAAGTCCATATCTTGAATACTGCAGTCCATATCTTGTATACTGCACACAAAAAATATGGATCATGAATATTTGTGTCAAAAGTAAGAAGCATGATCTGACATTAATGGCTGTCCGAGGTGCCCTGGTAGGGGGGGGGATAATTGATGACAGCCATTGACACTTTTGTTCGTTTTCATGAACAGACTTGCTCAAGTGAAGGTTCAAATTGATTCATGCAGTCTGATAAGGGTGTACTGTACATCCTCTGTGCTAAGGCTCAGAACTTTTCAGCCACCTCTCCTAATCTCAACTTGCTCCCTAATTTTAACGCATGCTTGTTATCTCTCACTAACACAATGCCACACTCACCAACTCACTGATGCACAAATAACAGACTAATAAATTCAAACAGTAACTTTTAATTCAAAATTTGACATCAGCTGTATTGAAATACAGGGAGAGAGACAAGTACAAAATACTTCAACTACAAAACTAAAGACATATCTCCTCAATGATACACAGATATGATACACCTCAACTCCAGGTACACTATCTCCAATGAACAAGGAATGATCGTCTCAATGGCACACACACTGATAAGGAAATAGATTCACATCCTAAAAATGTCTTCAAATTTGGGGCACAAACGTACATTATATGAAACACTTATTTTGGTAATGTGTTAAAAATACACATGTTATTTGACATAAATACTACCCAAAGACTAGAAAATATTAATTGTGCATCTTCAAGACTAGTTTGCCTGCTTCAGAAAGACAAAAAAAGAAAAAAAGTAAAAATGTAAAGAAAATTATTTATTTGCGTAGAACATATAAAAAATATGCTGTATGGCGTAAAACTAAACACAGTGATTGGCATCAGTGAGATAGGTCATCATATGGCACTGCATTGAGTAATCAGGATGACAAACTTATCCATTTTCTGTACAGTACAAGAATAGCTGAATCATTTCAAATCAAATAGTCCAGGGACATCAGAAAAGGGCTGCACACATTTTACTTGATGGGCATTTGAACCCTGAACAATTGATTTAATGTAACTCACTCCATAATAAACATATATTTCACGGTTGCAGGGTTGGGAGTCATGGTGACTCACGATATTTATTTTGCGGAGTCATTTTCAATGTTTGGGAGTCATGAAAATTGTAATATATATCTTTGTGGTAATCATTCTCAGTATGTAACTATGTTTGCACACCACCAAATGAAACTACAGCATAGTTTAATTCACACAGCCAGGATTACTGTCTCCTCTGAGTTCTCTGGAACAATCTGACAGCTCTCATCGAACAATATCATTTTTTGCTTATCAAATCGATTTTATTGAACTGAACTGTGAGGGCCACCTATAAAACTTGCACCAAGCTTGACTCATATGATAGTATTTTGAGAGTCATAACATAATTGTTGCGTCAAATACGTAGGAATCACGCGTCGTGTAAAACCCTGGGTTGGTTGGTTTTAACGTCAAGTATTTCATGTTCAGATAGCTGAAAAACTGGAAACTGCACAAGCAGCTTAAGAACAAAACATGAAACAATATGGGATATTAAAGAAACTATTCAGTCACAAAATATGTATCTCCCCTTTAGTTAAAATGTTCATTTTATGAAATGACTTGTTTAATCCATAGTGAGTGAGTTGACTTAAGAATCCATAGTGAGTGAGTTGGGTTTTCTGCCACTTTTAGCAATATTCCAGGAATATCACAGTAATAATTACCACTAAATGGCTTCACACATTGTAAAAATGTGGGGAATCGAACCCAGACCGTTGACTTGATGAGCGAATGCTTTAATCACTTGGCTACCCCAACGTCACTAAGAATCCAGAAGGAGCTTGCACAAATCAAACATGTCGGAAAACTTGGCCTCATTAATGAGATTCTAATTTTTTTAATACTCCTTTCTGATTGTGTCTTTAAAAATTCCAACTATTGCTTGCATAAATACTTCTATGAGAAAACAAACTGCCCTACATCATAGGGAATAATGCAGGATAAGTTAAAAGACATGATTACATTGCAGTTTCAAAACACCTCACTTTGGTGACACTTGGTATCGTCTTGTGTAACAATACAATTGGTGTCTTGTGTAAACATGCATTTCATTTTTTGAGGAAATCTACCAAAATGAAATCTAACTTTAGCAAACTGATTTATCCTCAGACAATTCAATCCCTTGTCTGGATGATGTAACTAAATGATATATGATTACCTTTGCATGATGAGATATCTAAAAGCTTTCAAAGTTCTGGGTGTAAGCAGCTGACAACTTGCAAACACATACAGGAATGTATAGTAAATAATGGATTGCATATGAATATAAAAACACTTTAAATTCTTTTGAACTGTTTTAATAATTTACTCTTTGGTGAGGAATAAGAATCTAAGACTGAACACACTGAAAAATGGTAATGAGATGCAACTGAAGGGGCATAACTCTGTCCACTGCAGTTGAACATTAGCTGACCAACTATCCGAGAAAAATGAGTGAGTGAGTTTAGTTTTATGCTGCTTTTTAGCAATATTCCAACACTATCATGGCAGGGGGATGCAAGTAAAAATATCTCAAGCTGTTCGTAAAAAAGCTCTTTTCATTGGCAGTAGGAAGAAAGATGGCATTATGGAGATAAGGAGTGAAAACAAAAATGAATACAACAGTTGGACATTTGCCTGCATTCCAGTTTGTCAAGATTCACACTGATTATGAAATCTGAGGCTGATCAACGTCATGGCCTCCGAGCATAAATAACACCATACGCATCCTTGGAACTTGATATCTGGGCAGTAACATCTTCTAGATGCTGATCACAGTCTACAGTACTCACTGTCCCATGAATGATTTTAGCTATCTGTGCCCACTTGCACAAAGCAATCTTTGTGTTAGACAGTGTTAAGTCTGTGTTAGAGTATGGGAGGTACGATCATCGTACTGCTGAGATTGCTTTGTGCAAGTGGGCCCTGTACTCTACAGCTCTTGTGAACTTGGTTCCATGAACTTCCTCTCAACATAACACAATGTGTACTTTTTGAGTGCATTGTTAGAGTTATCTCCCCCTAGTGCCAGACAACCTGATTGGCTGAGGTGATTGGAGCAGCTCTAAAATACCTGACGCCTTCACTGTTGCCATTGGCAACCGACATTGCTTGGGGCATGTTGTTGTGGTTCCGAGCGGAGTCTTGCGGCGATCCATCTCCCTTCATGACTGAGATACTCTTCCAGGAGTCCAGATAGTTCGCTGAACAGGGAACACAGCACATGAGATCAACATGTAATACACAAATGTAGTAATTATGGCAACAAAGTCCATGCTTTACAGATTTAATAGAAAAAAAGATAAAAAACAAATGATTACCAAGTTCAGAAAGAAATACTTATATACTATGAAAGTACCAAATTTGTCACTTATTTAATCTGAAATTATGCAAGTTTCCATGCTCTCAGCCCTTCTTAAAGGCAATATTAAATTTAAAAGTTTGAATGAATTATTGCAACGTTGCATTAAATCAACGCTCATGCCCTCAACCGACCGAACATTATTTCAAGCGAACCCCATAGAGTTATGTCCCTCTTGACGAACATCCTTTGCACAATGTGTGATTGACACCAGTTTGACAAACACCGCCAACACCGTGTGAGACAGTTTCGATGTACGGAGCAATCGTATACATTCCATATAAGGCAAGTGTTATCTGTTTGGAAGCTTTTCGCTTCGAAGTTTCAATTATCAATTTCAGGCAAGTCTTAAGGGATAATAAGTCTTATATTGCATAAATAGGAAGCTAAAGTGAGTGCATATGCCCCCAAAATGTAATATATAATTTATAATTAATTTATAACCTTTTATAAACAATGGTACATAATAATTTATATAAGAAATGATAATTACTCTGTGTACGCTTTATGGATGACTACAATGAATTGTAATCAGATGGGAAATATATAAAGAAAAAGAAATATATAAACAAATAAATGTCCCTTAAACATAATCATAGTACGGGAGTGAACTTAATTTTCCAAGACAGAATTATTCCAGCTATATCAGATCAGAATCTCGATAATGAATGGTTGACAGCATTTCCAATGGCCACCATAATGTCCATACCCTTCAGAAGCACCACAGCTACTGTCCCCTTTCATCAAGTGCTTGACCACCTTCTCTACCTCTGCTAGACAAGTGCTTGACCACCCTTCACTACCTCTGCTAGACCAGTGCTTGACCACCCTTCACTACCTCTGCTATACCAGTGCTTGACCACCCTTCTCCACCTCTGCTAGCAAGTGCTTGACCACCCTTCTCTACCTCTGCTAGCAAAGTGCTTGACCACCTTGACCACCCTTCTCTACCTCTGCTAGCCAAGTGCTTGACCACCTTTCTCTACCTCTGCTAGCAAGTGCTTGACTACCCTTCTCTACCTCCCCTAGACCAGTGCTTGACTACCCTTCTCTACCTCCGCTAGACCAGTGCTTGATCACCCTTTTCTACCTCCGCTAGACCAGAGCTTGACTACCCTTCTCCAACTAACCTGTAAAATGGCTAGAATACAGTATCAAAGATACCTTCCTCCATACTGACATGTATCTGCAGGTCTGTCTTACCTTTCCACAAGCGGACACACCCATCATCTCCAGATGATGCTAGAATTGTACCAGTCACATTCCAGGAGACCCGCCACACCTGTAACATATCAAGAATTTGGTGAGAGAATCAGGCGACACATTCCAGGAGACCCCCCACACCTGTAACATATTAAGAATTTGGTGAGGGAATCAGGCGACGACTAAGGCAAATATGATGGTTAAAGCGATTCCGGCACAACTGGTGATGTTCACTCAATGTGGTGCCTATGAGGGCTGGGCAACCCATGACCCTGATCAGCTGATCAGCTGGGTAAATGCTTCATGCATCTATGGTCTAGCATGACCCAGATCAGCTGATCAGCTGGGTAAATGCTTCACACATCTATGGTCTAGCATGACCCTGATCAGCTGGGTAAATGCTTCATGCATCTATGGTCTAGCATGACCCAGATCAGCTGGGTAAATGCTTTACGCATCTATGGTCTAGCATGACCCTGATCAGCTGATCAGCTGGGTAAATGCTTCACGCATCTATGGTCTAGCATGACCCTGATCAGCTGGGTAAATGCTTCACGCATCTATGGTCTAGCATGACTCTGATCAGCTGGGTAAATGCTTCATGCATCTATGGTCTAGCATGACCCTGATCAGCTGGGTAAATGCTTCACGCATCTATGGTCTAGCATGACCCTGGTCAACTGATCAGCTGGGTAAATGCTTTACGCATCTATGGTCTAGCATGACCCTGATCAGCTGGGTAAATGTTTCACGCATCTATGGTCTAGCATGACCCAGATCAGCTGATCAGCTGGGTAAATGCTTCACGCATCTATGGTCTAGCATGACCCAGATCAGCTGATCAGCTGGGTAAATGCTTCACACATCTATGGTCTAGCATGACCCTGATCAGCTGGGTAAATGCTTCATGCATCTATGGTCTAGCATGACCCAGATCAGCTGGGTAAATGCTTTACGCATCTATGGTCTAGCATGACCCTGATCAGCTGATCAGCTGGGTAAATGCTTCACGCATCTATGGTCTAGCATGACCCTGATCAGCTGGGTAAATGCTTCACGCATCTATGGTCTAGCATGACTCTGATCAGCTGGGTAAATGCTTCATGCATCTATGGTCTAGCATGACCCTGATCAGCTGGGTAAATGCTTCACGCATCTATGGTCTAGCATGACCCTGGTCAACTGATCAGCTGGGTAAATGCTTTACGCATCTATGGTCTAGCATGACCCTGATCAGCTGGGTAAATGTTTCACGCATCTATGGTCTAGCATGACCCAGATCAGCTGATCAGCTGGGTAAATGCTTCACGCATCTATGGTCTAGCATGACCCAGATCAGCTGATCAGCTGGGTAAATGCTTCACACATCTATGGTCTAGCATGACCCTGATCAGCTGGGTAAATGCTTCATGCATCTATGGTCTAGCATGACCCAGATCAGCTGGGTAAATGCTTCACGCATCTATGGTCTAGCATGACCCTGATCAGCTGGGTAAATGCTTCACGCATCTATGGTCTAGCATGACCCTGATCAACTGGGTAAATGCTTCACGCATCTATGGTCTAGCATGACCCTGATCAGCTGGGTCAATGCTTCACGCATCTATGGTCTAGCATGACCCTGATCCTCTGGGTAAATGCTTCAAGCTGGGTAAATGCTTCATGCATCTATGGTCTAGCATGACCCTGATCAGCTGGGTAAATGCTTCACGCATCTATGGTCTAGCATGACCCTGATCAGCTGGGTAAATGCTTCATGCATCTATGGTCTAGCATGACCCTGATCAGCTGTGTAAATGCTTCATGCATCTATGGTCCAGCATGACCCTGATCAGCTGGGTAAATGCTTCACGCATCTATGGTCTAGCATGACCCTGATCAGCTGGGTAAATGCTTCAATGCTTCACGCATCTATGGTCTAGCATGACCCTGATCAACTGGGTAAATGCTTCACGCATCTATGGTCTAGCATGACTCTGATCAGCTGGGTAAATGCTTCATGCATCTATGGTCTAGCATGACCCTGATCAGCTGGGTAAATGCTTCACGCATCTATGGTCTAGCATGACCCTGTTCAACTGATCAGCTGGGTAAATGCTTCACGCATCTATGGTCTAGCATGACCCTGATCAGCTGGGTAAATGCTTCACGCATCTTTGGTCTGACACATGGTTGACTTTGTGATGTGTCTGTGCCTTGGTCTAGCATGACACTTGGTTGACATGGGATGTGTCTGTGCCTTGGTCTAGCATGGCACTTGGTTGACTTTGGGATGTGTCTGTGCCTTGGTCTAGCATGACACTTGGTTGACTTTGGGATGTGTCTGTGCCTTGGTCTAGCAGGACATATGGTCGTAACTAGTGATGTGGAAAATGCTGCATCATACCTGGGACTCATGGTCACCAAAACTTGCCACTTGTCTCATCTCGAACTTCGTCAGAGTGGCCTGTGCTCCTAAGGAAACATCCTTCCTCAGTGGCTTTAGAGAAATAATCTTGAGATCCTTGGCAGCGATTGCCAACAGGTGGTATGACCGCCCCAAGTTTGGAGCGAAGGCAACATCATGGACGGGGTCAGTCACCATGGATAAACTCTCAACTTTGTTCCATTTCCTGGAACATAAGAAATACTCTGTAACACCGGCTTATTGAAGCACTTCATGATAACTACCCACTTGATGAAAGGATAATAACTGACGATGGACAAGTCATGTTATTTTGTCTGCAGTTGACAATATCATATTAGACTATCCACAAATGATCTCCAATTTTAAATAACAAAATAAAAAAATGAAAATAAAATGAGAGAAAATGATTGTCATTTTTTTGTTTTTGAAAAGCAGTGAGCACTTTTCAGTTCATTCATAAATCAGAAACTATTTACATATTTACACCAGAACAGAATGGTTACAATATGTTCCATGCAATGTTAATGTATGCAATCACTCAACCATACTAACCTTGCATTATCGTTGTACTCGTAGATGTGGACTTTCGCACCAGCCGCTGGGTTAGGGTCATCACTGCCGACAGCTATCATTGGAGGATGTACTCTGTAACCATGGTAACAGTAAAAGTTACAGGTCACATGACTGATGTTGCAGGTGACTGTAGAGGCACATTCAGCCATGTCACAGCTGGGAGATGTTGAACCTAGTGTTGATCCTTACACGTTCAATCTCCAAACTGGATGATGCCAACATGTGTCAATAAACCACCTGTTATGCAATACATTGGAGAGTAAGGGCTGTCCACTTCTCGCATGATTTCCTAATGATTGTTATGATTTTAAAATAACTTTCAAGGAATAACACTGTATCTAAGATGCCAAACAAACTTACTAACAACTTTCAAGACAAAACTGTGTCTGTTTTGCAACACAAATATTAATATTCTCGTTGCGATCAGTCATCAAGAATAGAGTATTGGGTATGTTTTAACTAAATCACCGGTAGATCGCCTGTTATGCAACACATTGGAGAGTAAGGACAGATATTGCTGTGCAATATTTCTGCAATATCACGGTAGGGGACACCAGAAATGGGTGAGTTAAGATTTACACTGCACTCAGCAATATTCCAGCTATATGGTGGCGGTCTGTAAATAATCGTGTCTGAACCAGACAATCCACTGATCAACAACATGAGCATCGATCTGCGCAATTGGGAACCGATGACATGTGTCAACCAAGTCAGCAAGCCTGACCACCCGATCCCGTTAGTTGCCTCTTAAGACAAGCATGGGTTACTGAAGGCCAATATTCTAACCCGGAACTTCACACGGGTCTGCAACACATTGGAGAGTAAGGACAGATATTGCTGTCCACTTCATGCATGATTTTTCATGAGGATTGTTATGATTCTAACATAACTTTCAAAGGAATAACACTGTATGTCAGATGCCAAACAAACTTATTGCTTATTGATAACCTTCAAGACAAACTGTGTCTGATTTGCAACACAATTGTGAGCGAGTGAGTATGGTTTTATGCTGCTTTGAGCAATATTTCAGCAATACCATGGCAGGGGATACCAGAAATGGGCTTCACACATTGTACCCATGTGGGGTATCGAACCCAGGTCTTCAGCATGACAAGCAAACGCTCTAACCACTAGGCTACCCCACCACCCTGCAACACAAATAAGCCTGGATACTGTTTACCCTGTCTGCTTCTTAAGTTTTACTAAGCTATCACAAAACCATTTCATGCACAATTTTAATCAACTGCCAATGAGAATATTCCATGGCATATTTCCCAAAAGGAAGACACACCTTGAATTGTTCCAGGACAGACAGCTGCAGCTGATTCTACATGAGATCTCATGCTGGAGAGGCCAGTTACTGAGGTTCATCACGTCAACAGCCTCGTAGATACGGACAATCCCATCAGCAGAACATGTAGCCTAAACAAACAAGAGTCATCAGAAGATGACATATCCCCCCGGCCCCCACATATTTGAAAGAACAAATCATCTGACAGTTACTCAAAGTCCAGCTTGATGTCTTTTTAGACAAGTCCGAATCGTTTCCATGGAAATCATGAAAAATATAAATGCCAAAAATGTGTAAATAGCAAAAGGCACCACTTCAAGATCTGACAGATAAACCTGCCAAGTTCTGTTGAAAGATATTAAACAGTTTTTGAGTTGTGCTCCAGAAACGAAGCCCATCCCTCCCTTTTGAAACAGTCCGAATTGTTTCCATGGAAACCAATAAAAATATAAATGACAAAAAACTGCAAATAGCAAAAGGCACCATTTTAGGTTCTGTTTGATATATCTACCAATTTCTGTTGAAAATTATTTAACGTTTTTTGAGCTATGCTCTGGAAACAAATTCATTACGGACGGACGAGCCGTCAACCATATTCCCCTGCATTACATGCCAGGGGGATAACAAATAGTCAGTGGAACTGGAAGACTGAAACGATCGGTTGGTTGGTTAATGCCGCACTCAGCAGTATTCCAGTGATATGGTGGCGGTCTGTAAATAATTGAGTCTGGACCAGACAATCCAGTGATCAATATCATGATCTACGATGACATGTGTCAACCAAGTCAGCAAGCCTGACCACCCGATCCCGTAAGTCGCCTCTTATTACAAGCATGGGTTGCTGAAGACCAATTCTAACCCGGATCTTGACAGGTCTGAACAGAAAAGAACAGTATGGAAGGCTTTGTATGCAACATGTTATAACATTGTGTCAGAAGTAGCATTAAAAGTAACATTTGCATGTCTTCTGAAAACATTTTGACACAATCATTGAAAACTAACCAGCTGCAAGCCCAAGTATTGAGGTCCAAACTTGACATCCGTCACCGAAGTTCGACTGTCCACAAGGTTGCCTCTGTTGACCCATGGAGTCTGACCTTTACCTTTGCCGTGTTCTCCCACCAGCTCCTCCCACACGGCCGCTGTCCTGTCGAAGGAGCATGTGGCCAGAACCTGCCCGAACTCAGGGTGTGCCCACGTCACTCTCCACACAGAGCCACTGTGTGTCTATACAGACAAGGTGGAAATAATAACACTAGTGAAAACTAGGGATGTCATGATACATAAGTTTCATGAATCAATACGTATCATGATACCCATGTCATGATTCGATACGTATCATGATACCAATTTTCGTGGCATTATTGTGTAAATTTAGTTACATTTTGAACATAAATATTTCATATTTTATAATTGTCCATGAAAAGATCAACATTTTTTATTCTCAGAGATTAAAAAGTTCTAATTTCCCATCTTTGTGCATGAAAAATATTCATTTATAACTCTCATAACATAAAAAAACATGATACAATTGCAAAATGTCAACAATACTTAAACATATTTAAACCGATACTTTCCAAACTAAATATAGATACAGTTTTTAATGTATCGATAATTGTATCGTCTTAGAAAAAGTATAGATGCATCCATACATCACTGTATCATGGCATCCCTAGTAAAAACTAAAAACACACAAACTATTGCTGTGAATTACCATGTTGGTGAGAGATAGTAAAAGGGAAAACAAGCTTGAAATATCATCTGTAAGGATCCTTTCCAGTCCTTCTTCCAAATATTTCAGTACAATACAATATCCCCTAAAACAGAACAATCACATACCACTTTTTTTAGGCTAAGGATTCTGGATTCATGAAGAATCCTGCCGTAGGCTGTAGTAATTATTCAAGTAACTCTATGATCATTAACATAACAGGGTTATAAACAGGACTGCATGATATGTGTCTCTACTTTCGATAAATGGCAACAAGTTCTTGCAGATACTGACAGCATAATGCAAAAGTGTTAATTCTCATACACATAGTGACATATTCAGTGTTTCAACACCTCTCTCTGTCAACAGTAATTCAATCTTCAGCTATTATCAAGGTTAGGATTATAAGCATGATTAGCATGTTTAGGGAACATTCTTTCTAATGACTCCAGATACAGTGTGATCCACTACAGACAGAAGATTGTGAGCAGCACAGTTGAAGTAGCAATATCTGCACATCTCCCAATATCATACAACTAAGACTGAAAAACAACACTAAACATTCGTAAATCAGTTGGTCAACATGGAAAAGCAAAATGTTACTTCCTTCTCTTTTTATATATTTGTAACTGATCCAGTTCTTATCAAGAGAGAAACACTAAAAATAGTAAAATAGCCAGTGAGGTGAGGTGAGGTGAAATTGGGTTTAACGTCTTGCTTGAGAATATTTCGCTCATATGACGACGTGCATGCGTGTGTATGTGTATATGTGGCTGCTTGTACTAGCCCAGACTGAAGCTGGTTTTATAGTGCTAGCCCACTGAGATACCATGCCGCAGTGAAGCATGAATACCCCACTCAGACACATTATACTGACTTCGAGCCGACCAGTCCTTGTTGTACCCATTAATGCCGAGCGCCAGGCAGGGACCAACAAGTACCATATTTTAACTTCTTTTGGTATGGCGCAGTCAGGGATCGAACCAGCGACCTTCCGCTCTCCGGGCAGATGCTCTAACCACTACACCACGGAGGCGGTCAAAATAACAAGTACTGATGGTTGTCTCTACATAATGTCAATATAAGGGCTTCAACAATACCTTCCAGTTAGCTGTGCAGTGCCACTCTCCATCTTCTCCCAAGTCCCACACCTACAACACCAACATATGATCCCGTGACTGCTGTACGCATGCTGACCATGTATATCATTCCAATGCAAGAGCTCTCATTGCAATTGGATTGGGGGCTTAATTTAACAATATTCCTGCAATATCATAAGGACACTAGAATTGGGCTTCACAAATCGTACCTTAGTGGGGAATTGAATAAAGGCCTTCAACAAAATAAGCAAACACTTTAACCTCTTGACTACCCGATCCCCCTGCAATAGATTAGGAAATTATCTGTTGTACTACAGATGTGTACCCCAGGTACATTTCTGTATACAGAAACGTACCCTAGCCAAAATCAGCATACAGAAACGTACACTAGGACGATTCCATACCCACTGTGTCATTTTCTTGATCGGAACCGTCATGTTGTTGTATTAGATGCATTTGATTGCGTAATATAAGAAACAAATATGTATACACAGTAACTGATATTTCGCGATGCCAAATACCACTTGTAATCAGCTGAACGGGAACAACTACATACGGTTTCGGTTTTGGATTGCGGAATGTGGATTCGTCCGCCTTTTAGGGTACCTGGTACGTTTCTGTATTTTGACTTTGTTTAGGGTACATTTCTGTATCAGAAACGTACATGGGGTACGTATCTGTAGTACCTGTGCCGACAATGACCCCTTCAGCGAGAATGGCATTATCACCCTTAGCAATTCTTGAAAGAGGAAGTTTTAAAATGTTATTATAAAGAAAACTGCTTTGTTCACAGCAATAATGTATCATTTTGCACACACATGTAAACATCATGGTGTAGGTAACTGCACAGGCTGTTAGTTAAAAATTCATTTCGAATCTTGCCGTGTGCTAATTCTATGCATACATGTTCCTACTGCAAATCTGCTTACAACATAATGTGATAGAAACTTAATTTTCATTCCTGCACTGTTTCAGTGAAAACTGGTTATCACCTTAACGCTTTGGTCGCTGGAACATGTGGCCATCCGCGTTCCGTGGAAATCATAGGAGACATCGTGGATCAAGTCTTTATGATCAACAGGGATGGATTTGGCCACATACATGGTGAACGTCAATCAAACACAGGTGAAAAATAAGTAATTACTGTGTGATATTAAGACACGATATTAAGTAAGTCTGTATATATTTCAATTAGAGTTATCGTCCTAAAATAAAACACTGGCAGGTGCGCGATAACTTTGGACTTACATGCGCCATAGCGCTCCAATACCTTGCAATGTAACAAGTAAGATGATTGGTCTGTCAAAGATATTAAACCAATCGATGGCGCTTTTACAAATACCAACTAGGGAGTACAGGAAGTGCGAACAAGATTAACAACAAGAAGATGGTACAAGACCTTCATATTACTCGTACGACATGTTTATTATTTATCTCCATATAAGAAATAATGTTATTATGCATAAATATCCATCTTACTTTTAACTACAACTTTGACAAGTTAAGAGTGATTCTTTCAGGCCCGACACCGCCGAGTGCTTCCCTCATGATAGACTTTATCATAGAGTTCCACGTTTTGCATGCTTCAGCAAAGATAACCTCTCACTCTGACTTATGTATCGAGTAATGTTGTCGCTGCTCTGTGGCCGAGAGAGCGTTCTCAGTATTCAGTCTAAATAATGTGTGCTGACCACACACTGAGCTTGAGATGTGACCAGCGTGCAGAGCCCTGCATTGTCAAGCGTGGTATTGGACATGGGGTAGATGGACAAATAGCATTTGACCCACTCCATAAATATATCGTGTGTACCGGTTTATACCCATAATTATGACATCTTTATGCTCAAGATGTATGTATGCAGAATAACTTGTAGGTTTGCCCTGTTGGTGTTATATCCAAACAGCAGCAGATTGAGTCAAGTATACATTATGAGATTGTGTTACAGCTTATTCAGTATTTGACATTGAACAGCTGCCATAACATTACTGTTTCTAAGTAAAACAAATATGTGTGTGTATATTGACAAAATCAATCAACAAAATTTACATTGATACATCTCTATGCATTATTCCTCTTACAGTTATTCAGGAAGGGCTGTTTGTTATGTCATTTTCGTTTTAAGTAGAATTTCATTGATCACCTGTAACAAAGTATTCCTCATAGTTTACCATATTTTCTACAAAAAAATAATACAATTAGAAACAAAGTAACTGATCATTATAATCATTCAATCTCTATCACCTTGATTCTTTATGCAAACAGTAGTTGGTAAGATGAATGCAAGATATATGATATATGATAACATTCAATGTATCATCGCTGAACCATAACTTGTAGTCAATTTTCCAGATTTTGCATGTTTATGAAAATAATTCAGATAATTATTCCTTCATTCACAAATCAATTAAGAAAATGTTCGTGGATGTATAAATCATGAGAGAAATGAATGTCATACCTTGGTTGCTAGGCATTATGAGACAGTAATAGAATTAAGCAAGGTATGATGCATCAAAGATAAATATACACAGGAATATACGTCTTTGGATGCATAAACATGACAACTGAATGTGCTGACTTCAAATGAAATATTTACGTGTACTTTGATAATATTGCTTTCAAGGAAGCTGTGACTTTATTGACTGATGCATATAGTAATAGGAATATAGATGCATCCATAGTCATGACAACAGGGAATTTTCTTATTATGTTTAGAGAACTGTATGTCACAAATAAATGAAAAAATTATGTAAGTCTGATCTTTAATATGCAATGGATTATGGATAATAATTATAAGAGTAGTAGTAATAGTTGTAAGTACTGACTAAAGAGAGGTTTGAAGGGTCAAATACCTGGCCTGTGTTTAACAAAACAATTGTGCTCTATGGTTGTTGTAAGTATATGTTAATGTATGTACGGGTATGCTGCTTCAATAGCTTTGTGAAGCAGGACCCGGGGTATTGTACTTCAGAATTTGGAGTTACGTTAGTGCAATCATGGTTTGCATGGCCTTGCCACAATTACTTACAGCTGATGATATTTGTAATATGGTGTGATATAGCTGTATAAATATTGCATGATATAGCTGCAATATGGTGTGATATGGATGTAATATTGCATATCACTTTAATATGGTGTGATATAGCTGTATAAATATTGCATGATATTGCTGGAATATGGTGTGATATGGATGTAATATTGCATATCGCTTTAATATGGTGTGATATAGATGTAATATTACATGATATCACTGGAATATGGTGTAATATAGCTTGAATAATGCATGATATTGCTGGAATATGGTGTGATATAGATGTAATATTGCATGATATCGCTGGAATATGGTGTGATGTACTATAATCATAGTTATTTTCGCATGGGATTAATTTTCGCGCTTTTAGCGCAAAAAGATTGTGTGCCAATAATCATACCAAGCGAAATATTCATGGTGAAGTCATGACAAATACTCAAGTAGGAACAACATGCAATTTGTTTATTCTCTCAGATAACAACATCAAAGCAGTTATTCCCGGTCCATGTTTACAAATTACGTGATCAAACAATGTCAAGAAGTCCACAGATGTTCGCCTACCGGTAATTCCTCAACACAATGTACTTATTTCACAGCAATCACTTACATACTGCGTCTACTCACGTCTCGAAATGAAGTGTAGTTGACAGTAAATGGATACGCATACATATTTTGTTTCGCCAAAAGTCATAATTAGTGTAGCTGGACGATCACATGTTGACAACAAACGACTTTCGTAGTGGAAATAGCGAGATCGTGCGAAACCTCATCGGTGACAGTTTAAATAGTTCCATGCATAAAAACTATCCGGCAATACACCAAAAGACTGTCGCATAACCTTAGTTATGATTATAAATATTTTACATTTATAGAGCACAACCTGCAATGAAAATGACACAAAACTAGACTATATTTCTCTTTAAAAAACAACAGTTTGAGATACTATCTTTTTAAGATCACTGCATCAGAATTCATCTCGGAATATTATCGGGTACGTTTTAAATAAATCACCGGTAGGGGAACGTGTGCACTGCACAGCTGACTGCTGTTTCCGGCGCTGTATACGAGACAATTACACACAGTAATCTTAATACCTGCATATAGGACAATGCCTAACAAAAAACAAACTAGAACTGAATAGGTAAATAATCTTTTCTAGCGATGTTTTATTGCAAATTTGACGTCTTTGGTCTTCTCTTGTATGTTCGTTCACGCGAAGCGATATAAGCCACAATCACAATGTTGACACAAGTATAATCCCGCCTCTCTCTGATTGTTTTAGTAAACACAATTCAATTATGGCGGCTAGCTTTGATCATTGCATGTCTATCGGTTGTGAAAACGTTGTGATGGATACCATCACTCAGGTGTTTGAAATGCGCGAAAAAACAACTGCGCAAACAGGCCTTTTGTGAACTTTCCGCGAAAATTGCACCCCGTGAAAATATATACGATTACATTAGTTGTAATATTGCATGATATCACTGGAATATGGTGTGATATAGCTTGAATAATGCATGATATCGCTGGAATATGGTGTAATATACTAGCTTAAATATTGCATATAACTGGAATATTGTGGTATGTAGTTGTAATATTGTGTGATATAGCTGGAATATTGTCTGATATAGCTGGAATATGGTGTGATATAGCTGGAATATTGCATGATATGCTGTAACGTTGCATTATATGGGTTGTATATGATGTGATATAGTTAGTTTATTACCCTTAAGATATATTTGTCGAATTCTGATTGGTCAATAGCCAAAGCATATGAAACCATGTAGGTGAATTTGCCAGGGTGTACGAGCCGTACACTCCGTCAAATCTGTCACGTGATAGTCTACAAAGGTTGTACAAATGACCTTGACCTCAGATGGAATGTGGCTGCCAAACAGCTGATTGCTTCCAAATTTTAGAGTTGGCGTATTCAATTATGAGCATAAACCGAGTAATAAATTTGGTGTCACAATTTCTTATTTGTTTGTATCAATAAAAATATAAGAAATATAAAATGTTTCTGTATTTCACTTGTCGTTTAACAAAACCTCAAATTCGATAAATTTTATCATAAACTAAGCCATCCCAAGTTGTCTCCCTTTATGACCAATCAGGATAAATCATGGCGAAACATGTTGTGTCTCATACTGCCGAAGATTGAATGCTGCTTTTTAAAGATAAGTTAAATAAAGAGATCTTAAGGGTAATACACTCGTCACACAGTGTTTTGAAAGGGTTACGGAACTGTGGAAATAAGGAATTTACAAGGTCTTACAGTCCCGTACACCCTTTCAAAACACTGTGTAACTAATAATGTTGTGATAGGGCTTGAATATTGCAGAACGTGGAGTAAGACAATATTTTAGTGATCATAATCTAATTATAAAAAAACCGAACATAATCCCCAAATAGTTTTTTCAGTTTATATGAAATTATGTTCTGCCGCTAAATGTTTTGTTGATATAAGCAATTCTGTATTTGTGACATGTTTTACACTTGTTTTCAGGACTATTTACCAGCTTTTCAGTAGCTTTGCCATGTCTGCCTGATTAGACGATGGCCACCACATGCCATTCAGGATGGATGCCATGGGTGAGCATGATACACTGGTTCTAAAGGTTCTGACATTTTCTGTTTCTGGTGTAGCAGAATAGGTGGACAGATTGTACAGTTAAATATAACTGAGTGCTATGTAGTGGTGTTCCGATTAATTTAAATAATCGAAGATTGGTCACAGTGACCAAACGACCAAGCAATCGATCACATTTTCTCATAATCGAACATAAACGATTTTGAAACTACTGTTTTAGTCTTTGAAATACTTGACAATGGAACATATCTTAGAAGTTGTCAGGGCCTGAAAAAGCGTTTAATTCTTAGAAAACTCACTTCACTAACTGAAAAACCATGACTGAATATTTCTTGAAGACTCCGGGAAGTTTATGTTCAAGATATATTAGTCATCACTTTAAAGTAGCAAGTTGCATCATGTTATACATATCTGCAATAACAACCTGGATAGGAAAATCTGAAAAATGACGCTAACCAATTTTGTCGATGATCGTTCGTTCGTAATGAAGCAATCATCAATTGTGAGATTTCAACCAATTCCCAACACTAATGCTATGTGATATTCACCTAAGTGATATATGCTTGTTCAACATGTGGTAACTAGATCTCCAGCTGTTCATCCTATAATACAGGGGGCGGTAGGGTAGCCCAGTGGTTAAAGCGTTCGCTCATTTGCCAAAGGCCCTGGTTCAACTCCCCACATAGATATAATGTGTGAAGCTCATTTCTGGTGTCACCCTTTGATATTGCTGGAATATTGCTAAAAGGGGGCTTTAACCTACTGACTCACTCACTCCATTGATACAGATACGGTTAAAGAATGTTACCTAGGTTTTTATTGTATTAGGACATTCATTTTCATATTCATATCATAATCCTGATGATCCAATTAGAAATGTTAACGACCAAAAAATGAACAAATTTGAAACCATACAATATTTCTCTTATCACAAAACAAGACCAAGCTGTTATACTTCTGTGCAATATTTGCTTAGCAATTACACATTGATTAAAGTATACCCTGCGTCTGGTCTCTTCTATTTTTTGTCAATTGTAGTTAAAAAAGTATTATTTGCCTTTGTTACTTGTGATAGTTGGGTTGACAATCCAGACGAGGTGCACTCATCTTGTATTTCACAACTCTCATGTATTTTTGTGTGACTTGTGGTAAGGTGTGCTCCCATTGTTATCGAAATCCTGGGCGTGCCTCTGTGTGTGGTCCATGTTCATCTACTTACCACTTCAGAAACCATTATGGTGTAGAATTTTATGGTTCAAGGACAATCACTCATCAGAAATCTCAATGTGTTCTGTTTGATTTTGTGGGTCATGTCACAGATCACTTACAGAGTCCAGGTTAGCTGTATAAAACATTCACAAGTCAATCCATTACTGACAAATGCAAACTAATATTTGTCCACATACACCAAGTACTTGTAAAAACATTCCTCCTGTGTCCTTACATCTCTCTTTGAACACATTAATACTGTTTACCTTTTTACCATACTGCATTACTAGTCCCTGTTTTATCTGTACTTAGTCATGTTTTTTAGGGGTTTGATGTCATCAAACTGTGGGAACTTTAAGATTAAGTGCCCCTGTTACCTTTAACAGCACCATGTTATTAATTTATCCAACACTTTGATAAATTTATTGGACCAGGAAACTTGTCTGGTGTAATTAGTTTCCATGTCGACATGCATTGGGTGGAAGTTAAATCAAGTTAATCCAATTGAGCCGTGTCTTTTGATTATGAAACAAACTTTCAGCTAGTCATCCTTTTTTTTTTTTCAGAATATGTTTCCTCATCAAAGATGCCAGTTAGCCGATTTCACCCTTATCATGGACAAAACATAAGCCTATCTCAAGACAACATGGTGGCGTTTAGAGAAACAAGTTTTGCACATGCTTTGACTTTTAGTGAAAAGCCATTGAAACCAGGAGAAATATTTCTTGTTGAAATCGAGAAAAACGAACGAGGATGGAGTGGTCACCTACGAATAGGCCTAACTCAGTTTAACCCGTGTCAGCGATTTGAACTTCCTCAGTATGCACTGCCGGACTTGGCAAATATGGGTAAATCGTGGATTTTTGCCGTGACAAAGACACACAACCGAGTCTACACTGACAACCCTGACGACCCCAACTCTCAGCCTTATCAGTCTGTGTTGGGATGCTCAGAGGTGATACACACGCCCCTCGGCGCCATCAGTCGCAGCATGTTGCTGCCGCTGAACCGACTTCACCGAGGCATCGGTGGTGACTGTAATTGTGTAGCGGAGGACAAGTGTCGGAATAGTATACTGCCTACAGACGTGGGGAGCCGTATAGGAATCATGTACAAAGTTAAGGACAGTTCAGCTGATATGCACTTTATAATTAATGGCGAGGACCAGGGCCCATCTGCTCGTGGGATTCCTTTCCGGGATGGACCAATATACGCTGTAGTCGATGTGTATGGTACAACCAAACAAGTTAGAATTGTTCAGTTATATGGAGGTAAGTCACTTCCAGTGCTGTGTTTCAGATCTAACCGGTTTAATTTGTTGCTTTAGGCATTTGGGGTCAATATGTGAAAGGGAAGAAAGATCAATTGAAAAACCAGTATGTTGTCAGAATTGTTCACAACAAATTGATGATTTTAATCATGTTAGAAATATCATCTTTTCAATCAAATACAGGATTTGAATGTGTATTATGTGTATGTTAGATTTCCTGTACACTCATTATTGAAGTATGGTCAGGCCTAACTTTATTTTCGCTGTACACATGGTGTTCGGGAGAGTTCACTCAACGCAGCTCGTTCATTGTTTGTGGAATTTAAAACATTCATCAAAACGTGGTTTCTTCATGGAGTTAAATTTCCATAACACTGACTGCATGAGAACTGCATGCAGTCGACGAAACCTTCAAACAGAATGCAATGTGTTAGAGATCAGTCGGTTTTGTACGTTAAGAGAGTTAGACGTTAGATATTTTGGGTTAGTTTAGTAAAATTAGTCAAATTCTTAGACATGCATTGACGTTTATGAAGTCATTTGTTCATCAAAGATAATTTTTCTATAAGTGTTATGTTTAGTTTCTTGGTTTTCCATGTTAGCAAATAGATGTTCTCATGTTCAGGTGCTTGTTTATTTACCAAATGCTTCAACAAAAACCTTCGGAACACGTGGTACAGCAGTGGTGTAGAGATCTGGGAAATGAGGGAGTGAGTTTAGTTTTACGCCGCACTCAGCAATATTCCAGCTACATGATGGCGGTCTGTAAATAATCGAGTCTGGACCAGACAATCCAGTGATCAACAGCATGAGCATCGATCTGCACAGATGGGAACCGATGACACGTGTCAACCAAGTCAGTGAGTCTGACCACCCAATCCCGTTAGTCGCCCCCTACGACAAGCATGGGTTACTGAAGATCAATATTCTAACCCAGACTTGACGGGTATCTGAGAAATGACTTGTGTGTTATGCTAAATAGCTATAAATATTCTTCATTATCATCATGGGGCAGTGGGGTAGCCTAGTATTTACGTATTTGCTCATCATGCCCAAGACCCAGGTTCGATTCCCCACATGGGTGCAATGTGAGAAACCCATTTCTGGTGTCCCCTGCAGTGGTACTGCTGGAATATTGCTAAAAACGGCATAAAACTAAACTCACTCATGAACCTTAATATATTTCCATTTTGTTTCAGTGACCTCCCTCCAGAATGCTTGTAGAGACCTTATTCTCCAGATGATCCGGAAAGAAGATGTCAGTCGATTGCCTTTACCGCGAAAAATAGTCCAGTTTCTGCGCTACGAGATATAAAAGCACATGTGGTGTTTGATGATTGTATAAGCAATACTATTTTCATCCAACCCAAGAGGTTACAGATGACCCAAGTGCTGTTGTTACTATGGTTACCATAATCATGTTATGTTATTGTATTGGTCCTGGTTGTTTGGCTGTTGCAATATGTTGTTTTACCTTAAGCAAGACTGAGAATATCTGATATATTGTGGCTGAATGAATGACTTCATGTGTCCTGTCTCTCGTCATTAAGTGTGTTCAAGGCCTGTCCAATAGGTTCAGTTAAATTATTCTATGAATGAGAGATGTAACGATACGGCGAGGCAGCGATACAAGATACATATCCCCATAATATGGGTGCGATACGATTTGTATCCAAATACATTACTTTTCTTTCCCGAAGTTACTTTTTTCTTCCTTTTTGCAGGTTTTACACCTCCTTGAATCATTTCTTTTCAAATTACCGACAGCAAAGATGTATATTGTCGGGGAGAAACATATAAGCTTAGAGACACTGTGCAGATTCTACTATTCATAGCCAACCAGGAGATACTAGAGAATCTGCACTGATTTGTAAACTGATTTTTCTCATGTTTGTGTATCAATACAACTGGTAATGAATTGTATGTTTTGTGATACTGGAGTGGTAAATCGATGTATTGTATCGAGAGCCTTGTGTTGCGATACAGTACTGTATTCACGTATCATAACACCACTACTGAGAACTACTAGGAGGTTAAATAATTTCCTTCTAGTCACAAAATAAGATAATAAAGAATTGATAAGGGGCAATGAATAACAAATATGATTAGAACCATTTCTGACATGTAAATGAGAACTTAGTTGAAAGATGTTTTTAGTTGTTATGAATGGTTCGAGCATTTGGGTACTTGCATTTTTTGGACTTATAAGAACAACAGATCAGACCTATGGTGAAGACTGTGTCAAACAGGCTATCTAACTGATTTCATGGAGTGTTTTTCTAATTTATGAACATAAGCAGGTCATTGACCTATGCTGATTTTCTTGAGAGAGATAGAAACTGTTAATGTCACTTCACATATTTGGGTTAAATTTTCGTTATGAGTCACAGACTTGTTCAGTCAGATTTTCTTGAATTTTTTTGTATGATCGACCTATTTTACTCTTTTAGTGTCTATCTGAAGATGTCATATGTCGAACAAAAGGAAAGTTGGTCACACAACCATCAAACATGGTTGATAACTTACCCAAAAACTCAAAAAACCCACTTTCCTTAACTTTGTAATATCACCTGTACAAAAAGGGCACTAACTTATACCATGTTTAAGTTATTTATGATGTATGGATTAAGATTATTATAAGAAACTGCTTATATTTTATTATTTTGTCAGGTTTTGTAAACTCTCGATGACTCCGGATGGATAGTGTTTGTTTATTACAGTTGCAGAATACTTTACGAGATAGAATAATTACGATAGTAATAGTACCATTTGAGGGGATCATCTGGATTTTTGGAATGTTTTATAATTTACATTAATCCCTAGATCCCAAATTCAGTCCAGACCAGCTGGAATTTTACAATCAATGTTTTCTAGGATGACAATCGCTGTTCAGACAACTACTGCTGAAAACTGAAAAGGTTCTATCATAGAATGCATCCATCTTGACATGAATCTTGATAGGTTGTTTGGTACTATAGTATTTATTTTAGTGCAGTAGGGTACTTTTAGACATCTTGTAATGGCGGAACTCTGTCCACCAAAGAACCAGGACCCTAGGTGGTGAATGTTGAAGAATTTCCATGAAATATCTGTGCACTGTCCCTCTCCAAGTTGAAAGTGTCAATGGTGTCACAAGTGAAAGGTTGTAATTGAAAAATTACAAATGCATATAAATATCTAGCTGTGTTTGTTGTGTGTTCAACCACAGAAAATCGTACCTGTACACACTACCTCCCCATCCCATGCCCATGCTGTTGATCACTTGATTGTCTGGTCCAGACACAATTATTTACAGACCGCTGCCATATAGCTGGAATATTGCTGAGTGTGGCGTAAAACTAAACTCGTTCACCTCCCCATCCCACACACCCTCAAAATGACCTATGTCATATTTTTATTTGTGCACAGCTATGATTTTCTGTGATTCACCTTGCACTGCAATGGCAGATCTAGTCCACACCTTCACATGAATCTTGAGTAAATGGAGTAAATATGTTGTGGATGGAATGTTTTCCAGGTCAGTGTTAGATTCTATACCAAACGACTTTAAAAGAAGGATATCGACAAAGTCCTACTGTGTCCATATTAAACAGTTGCATGGGTCTAGCCCTTTAGACCTAGCAAAGCCTGGACAAGTACAACCAATCACACTCACATGCATACACATCACTATGTGAATATTCCATTAAGTTACATTTCATCTCACCTACAGACAAATCTCAGATAATATGAATCCGCCATAAGAGTTACCCAGCTAAAACGGTTTTAACGAAATTTAAAAAAACCTTCGAAAACGTTTTAATAACAATTATACAATGTTGGTGTTGACAAGTTGTGATATTGTTTCTGGGTAACGTTTCCATAATGATTTGTATTAGCTGTGTATAAAATGACTTAATAATAATAATGTGGGTGTTTATATAGCATTACATCCAGGTACTAATACCCGCTCATGGTGCTACAATACCATAGAACAAAATAGTTAAAACTATATACAGCAAGAGAGACAACTAAACATGGAAAGTCTAATAATAGGCAAGTGGGTTTTTAGAGAAGATTTAAATGTGTACAGAGATTCAGCATTCTTGATGTTCTTATGTTTATGAATAGAGATATGAACAGAAATAATTTGATTTGGTAACCCAAGATCTACTCAGATCAGCTGTTACATGTTTTGTCAATTGTGCTGATAGAAATGCTGTTGAAGACAGACTGTAGAAATATGTGAGAGATATATGACTAAAATGACTGAACATTTTAACATTCCTCAGCCCAAAGGATGTCATACTATCAGGCATTCCCAGTCGTGCCAGTATTATAGAGAAGCATAAGTGTTGTCAACAGTTGTTTACTGTGAAAGAAGTGTAGTTTAATTTGATGGCCATTTTTAGCTTTGTTCAAAATGAAGCTATGGTGGGATTGAGTCAAGGGTTTTATTACAACAGAATTTCACTACATGGATAATCAAGGCTGATCTGAAAAGGACAATATGGCATGGGGGTCAGATCAGCTTTCAATACAAACATCAATGTCGCAGTGGTAGAAGTTGCAGGAAATAGTGACAACTAACAACTTTAAGGCCAGATCTTCCTTTCTGCTATTCCTGATGACATTAGTTTCTTATGCAAAGAGCCTGGAAGCATATGTAAAGCTGTCTAAGTACATCGACGAATTACCTTTCCTCTGATCCTTTATGCAGGGGAGACAATTCTGAAGCAATCTCAGTTAGCCGTAATTACAACACAAACCAGTATGTATACTAGTTTGGGAACAAATAATAGACAACATATATGGTCTGACAGTTTATTTATTGTGAAGATAAGAAGATAACAGTTTTCTTCAATAACAATTGTAAAGTTGTATTTATGAATACAACTGGTACATTTATAGTACGTCAAACCCAATTCATTTCATGTCACTTTGTCGAAGTATATCGCAGCATGTAAGCTTAATGTGGCTGGATTGCCAGTGTTATGCAGGTGGTAAAGTGTACAAATACAACACACACAAGCACAGACATGATGCTGACAGACCAATCATGACATTGTAGATCTATTCTGGTAGATCCTGGCAACTAAGGGAGATAACCCCTGGAGCACCTTAGACAACTTGGCTCCCAGTACCCCTGCAAGTTGCCTCAAATATGTTGTGTTTCTGAATATAATGACTAGAGGCAGGCCATGCCAGCTTAACCTGTTTAAATGTTTACAATTACATGTGAATGTAAAATTAATATTTTACTGTTTGTCCAATGCTGTTAAGTTTGTGAGATTAAATATAGAAGTGATCATAATAGAAATATGATGATTTGGGGCAAGTGTTATGTTTAACACCACTTTAAACAGTATTTTAGTGTTTAATCCAGCATGAGGCACATCCAAGTGAAGGAGGTCACAGACATCTGAGCACGGGTATGGTGTTGAGGGCCAAGGAATATGGCTCTGTGAAGCACCATCCACCAATGCCTCCAGACAATTCACAGTGATCAGCTGCTTATTACATAGTGAAAGACACAGTGTCCAGCTTGTCCCTGTAGCATCCAGATGTCATCAACTGTCACCATCAAGCAGGAAGTCCTGGATGTCCTCTCTCATCCTCAGCCTGAAAACAAAAACGTTTTACCAAGCTCAAGAATTATCAGCTAAGATAAGATGACCATGGAATGCCCCCAAACATACACAGTCAAACACCAATGTGTAAAAATATAAGGGACCTATGTAAAGACTTTGAGTCATCCAAGGATCAACATAGGTGTAAAATGATGACTCAATTTGGATAATGCGGGCTGAGATTGTACTTTGAGGCAACTGTAAGGTCAACATATCAAAGTTCAACACCATGGTGTCTGACTGTAACAGTAAAACAATGAACTGTAATTCTGTTAAATGCCCTAAACTTTTCCCCTATGGCCTATGAAGAAAAAACCCTGATATCAATACAAGTCACCATAGAGAGGCCATCTTTGGTACCACATGCAGTCTCATCCCTTCAGTACCCGTGAAGATCTGGGTTAGAATATCTTCAGTAACCCATGCTTGTCGTAAGAGGTGACTAACGGGATCGGGTGGTCAGGCTCGCTGACTTGGTTGACACATGTCATCGGTTCCCAGTTACGCAGATTGATGCTCATGCTGTTGATTAATGGATTGTCTGGTCCAGACTCGATTATTTACAGACCGCCACCATAAAGCTGGAATATTGCTGAGTGCGGCATAAAACTAAACTCACTCACTCATCCCTTCAAAGTACATGTTCAGATCCCAGATGTGCCCAAAGTTTGTTTCTTGACTTGTCTGTAGCATATCTTTGCTAGTGTTAATCACCAAATGTCTCAAACCTGCACCAGCTCAGGCTTCCTCCTACGATATGACCACCTATGACATTACTGAAATACTGGCATTTAATGCAATTCACTCACAGTCACTCACTCTCACTCACTCACTCAAACAATTCATCCCTTCATACCTGTTGATCCTTGAAGTAGCTTCATGGATCACATGACTTGGTAACTGCGACACATCAGTCTGAAAAATATCACAGATGAGTTCATACCTCTATTCTTAGTGAGGGGTGGTGAGGTAGCCTAGTGGTTAAAGCGTTGGCTCGTCACGCCATAGACCCGGGTTCGAATCCCCACATGGGTACAATGTGTGAAGCCTATTTCTGGTGTCCCCCGCCGTGATATTGCAGGAATATTGCTAAAAGTTGCATAAAACTCACTCACTCACTATTCTTAATGGAAATGCATCATGATTTTTGGTCATATCAGGCAAATATCACTTACACTCTTACTATGGCTCAAAATGTAAAGACCTTACATAAATTCAGTGCATCACAAGTGCCATGATAGTAAACAAATATTTAATGTGTGTCTTCACTGTTATGACACAAGTGTCTAGACCGGCCTCCGTGGTGTAGTGGTTAGAGCGTCTGCCCGGAGAGCGGAAGGTCGCGGGTTCGATCCCTGACTGCGTCATACCAAAAGACGTTAAAATATGGTACTTGTTGGTCCCTGCCTGGCGCGCTCAGCATTAATGGGTACAGCAAGGACTGGTAGGCTCTGAGTCAGTATAATGTGTCTGAGTGGGGTATTCGTGCTTCACTGCGGCATGGTATCTCAGTGGGCTAGCACTATAAAACCAGCTTCAGTCTGGGCTAGTACAAGCAGCCGCACATACACATACACACGCATGCACATCGTCATATGAGCGAAATATTCTCAAGCACGACGTTAAACCCAATTTCACCTCACCTCACTTCACACAAGTGTCTGAACATCCTACAGATCTGATCATCTCACTTATGTTAATAGATACACTACCATGTCTTTTGCTGTCAGCCGGCATCCGTAACACAGGGCTTTGATCACATCAGTTCTCTGCAAACTGTAAAACAAAAGACACAGTAATCATGGAACAATAGTTACCACTGTCTATGATTCTAAGAATACTACATCTATTACAGCATTGCCACAAATCCTGTATTTGTGGCTGAAGTCACACTAAAACCAAATAAAACCTTGAGATTTTCAACAGGAGTCAACTACAGTCGAGCACCGTTGTCTCGATATTCAAGGGACCAAGAAAAAATTTGGAGTTATCCAAACTTCGAGAAATCTGACCAGGGCATATCATCACATATCACTATGAAAGAAAATGAAAAGTTTCGAAACTATAATCTGTTATCAGTAGTGTTTAGTCGTAACAGTGAGTACTTCCTAATTAATAATTTCTTAATTAATCCTAATTAAATAACAAACAGGTGACACCTTCAACTCAATTAGCCCTAATTAGTTTACACTACCGCATCGCTTTGATTCATGCCGCACCGTGTGTAAACGTGTGGAAATAACCTCAGTTCAGAGGGATACTTGTCCATGAAAGGTTGGTGAATATCGAGTTTCTCTGCAAATATCGAGTTAAAAGGGTAATTCTCTTTTCAGCAGTTTAGTGGCAACAATTTTCATTACATTAATTTATTGTTTGAAAATGGCCCTGTGGTCAGACATCAGATGTCATGATCTCAGTTTCAATTGTGCACTGCAGGCCTTGTGACAGCACTGACATGGCTATGTTCATTGTCCTTCTGACTTTAAGCAATGGAGGATTGGGGATGCTAATCTCTGGAAGCATGGAAAAATGTTAACAATAAATATGCAAGTCATCTCAAATAGGTTATATAAGAATATGTACCAATGATGAGAATCTGGTTCATAAATAAGGATTTGTTGAGTCGGTTCAACAAGTAATCTTCTTGCTATTTCTGTCCTAAGATGGTATTTAGAATGTTGATAGTCTATCAAGTGACCACCACAGTGGCAAGTGTGACTCTTCATTATGTGACTAGATAACAATGGTAGATTCACTGTACTCTTGTGTACTAAAACTAGTGATTGTTTGTTATTGCAGGGACAACTAATTGTGTATACAGTCGAGCACCGTTGTGTCGAACTCTGATAACTCAATGTCTCGGTTGTCTCGATGTACATCTCGGTCCCGGCAAAATCCTTCATAATTTATCATTATTCAAGCTCTTTTAACTCGATACGGATGTCTCGATATTTCGGATATCTCGATATAATTTCGTGGTCCCAACAAGCAAAATAGCATTTTGTGACCCCACTCTTGGCCAATGGCAGCAGATGACTCTGGTTTATATCAGCTAGGGTCTGCAGCTTGCATAGATTTGTACAAATATCATCATCATGTAGAAATATTTCAGTACTATCGAGAACAATGTCTGACGTTGGGCGAGTCTTCAGTTTCAATAAATGAGCAGTATGACAAATGTTTCACCTGTTGACCTTGGATGACTGACAGCTCCCATCACCTTCCCCACAACAGCCCGAGGTCATACTTCCTGGGTCACAGCCTCTCTTTGATAACATGTCTGAGAACTCCACTGCTCGCAAAGCTGATGCTTCACCCACATTTGTATCTAGAGGGGACTGGTGACGAGACAATGACAGGGTTAGCATCGAACACTCCAATGAGTCAAAGAAAATCTAAAAATGTCTTGGTACACAAATGAGTCCTTAATTTTAACTATTATTTTACAAAAGTGTAAAATGCTGGGGGGTTTTAAATCTAAAAATGATTCAGTTTGAAGTATTTTCAAAAAATGTGGGAGGTAGCTGGGAAACTGAAACATCTGTACTGCCAGTGTGGTAAGGACTGGTACAGCTGAGGACTCACCTGACACAGAACACAGAAGTCCTCTGTTCCGGTCCTCACAACACTGTCCAGCTTGCCTGCTGTCCTGAAACATACAAAGTGTTCATCCTTTATCACCAAATTGCCCATCTACCGAAGATAAATCAGAACCCCAGATTTGTGCTCACATATGATTATTTGTGTTGGTGGGTGATTGTTTTAGATGTTTATTAACTAAATGGTGTTTATCAACAGTTATCTCTCATGTACATTTACTGATTGGGCTGGGTCCCAAAAATAGGACAGGCTTTTGCCCATTTTTCCAATCTCTATAAAGTGCTGCATAACATGCCCTGTCTATAGGCATAACTCGAGAAATGCGAGAATTTTCCTGACACTGTTCACAATGTGTTACGTACACATACCATGTTATATTACTGACAGACCGCCGTCATATAGTTGGAATATTGCTGAGTGCAGCGTAAACCTCAACTCACTCACTCAATATTACTGACAGTGTGGATGTGTTACATATCTTGTAATATTACTGACAGTGTGGATGTGTTACATACCTTGTAATATTACTGACAGTGGAAGGGAACTCAGCCTGGAGCCCAGTCACAAAACACTCAGTCAGGTGGTCAATGCTGGACCCTCTTTGAGCCTTGAACAAATAGGCCAGGAGCATTAGACATGACATTGGAAAAAAATAGTAGAAAGCTGATTTTTTTCAGGAAAGCTTCAGAACATCATTGCCATGTACAAGTTACAAAGTTCTGCAAATTCTACCTTGTGGCATTTTCAAAATGGCCACCTATTTCAAGATGGCTGCCAAAATCATTAAAATGATTATGCAAACAGATATTTTGTAAATAATTATGCCATGTGATATATCAAATGAAAGCTCATCTCACAGGGATTCCAAATATATTGATATCATGCCTTGTGGCATTTTCAAAATGGCCGCCAATTTCAAAATGGCCACCATTGTCCTTAAAATAATCAAAATAATCTCACGAAAATATTTCTTTTTAATTAACCATACCTTGTGAGATATTAAAAGAAAGCCCTTCTCACAAAAAAGGAAGGCTTGCTAGAGAAGATTCAGCAGTGCAACAGAGGCCTGCTGATGCTGACTGCTTGATTGACTTGACAAAATACTTACTGTTCACCTGTCTTTGAATCGGGAGTTATGTTCTGCTAATATTCACATTTAATACGGGAGTAATGAGTGAAACATTTTTTTTACAATCTTTAAATTCTCAATAATTTCTGGTTGTACTGTACATGGCAATGATGTTTTAAAGCTTTCCTGAAAAATTCAGCTTTCTACTATTTTTTCCCAATGTTACCTGTTGTTTGTGTCTAATGCTCCTGGCCTAAAACATAAAGTGAGATGAAATGAGGAAAAAAATCATATCACTATAATTACTGCACATATATATCAGTGTGCTTGCACATGCTTGTGTGTTTGGCTACTTGTATAGGTCCCCAACTTCGAAGGGATATGCCACCTACGTACAATGTGGCACAGTGTGGTACTATTAGGTACAATTTGTTAAATCACAAGGAAAAAACTGAAACCTTTATAAAAATCCCCTTGGTAAGCAACACATCTCACATTCTAGACATTACTGCATAGAACACTTACACTTTTACAGAGTGATAGTACTTGCATGATTCAGTACTTTGGACATTTGTTAATCTGGAAATTTCGAGATTTCGTTAAATCAACATCCAGACACATTGAAGTTCCACTGTGTGATTGACGAAGAAAGTGACAATGATACAGTACGACTTTGACGTATCTTGACAAAACAATTTCCACGGATGAAATGACACCAAATGGGCATCAATGAGTTGAAGATGTAGAGGTGTCATTTTTTTGGAGTTACCTGTGTGGTGAGTGTGGGAACAAAGATGGGTTCCACCCGGTGTAGAGAGTTGTACATGGCAACCTCCTTAGACGTCACCTCCCTGGAAAATCACAGACACGGTTGCATCTTGTATTTATGAAATAGACAATAGAGGAAACCAATAAATCACTGCAGCCAGATTACACCAGTCTCGCAGCCCTGAAAGGTTTATTCTCTCTGCAGTGTTTTACAGATGGCAGTGAGATTTTTCTTATCAACATATTGTCTGCAACAAGAGAGTGTGAGGATAGTTGTAGCACTATCCCAGCAATATCACAGAAGGGAACACCAAAAATGGGCTTCACATGTTGTAGGTGAAGTGAGGTGAAATTGGGTTTAACGTCACGCTGGAGAATATTTCCTCATATGACGACGTGCATGCGTGTGTATGTGTGGCTGCTTGAACTAGCCCAGAGTGAAGCTGGTTTTATAGTGCTAGCCCACTGAGATACCATGCCGCAGTGAAGCACGAATACCCCACTCAGACACATTATACTGACTCCAAGCCGACCAGTCCTTGTTGTACCCATTAATGCTGAGCGCCAGGCAGGGACCAACAAGTACCATATTTTAATGTCTTTTGGTATGACGCAGTCAGGGATCGAACACACGACCTTCCGCTCTCCGGGTGAACGCTCTAACCACTACACCACGGAGGCAGTCCTCACATGTTGTAGCCATATGGGTCTTTGGTGTGATGAATGAACACATAACCACTACAATACGTTTGACTTCATTTGAGACCGATGAATTGCTCGCTAACACAAAATCTAATAAATGCAACATGATCAAACTTTGCACAGTCACATGAAATCGACAGACCAACTCTGATGATTTGTCTCATAATTTTGGACACCCGAATAAAAAAGTTGTTTAACAAATGATCATCATCTTTGGTGTGAAACACATATCCACTAGGCTACGCCAAAACCCTGCAACAGGAAGATGTTGTGAAACTCACCTTATCGGTCTGACAAACATGATATCACCATGGCGTTCATCTGCAAAACACTGAAACACAGTACAAGTATTTGTTAACATTGTGTAACTACAATCTACTACTACTACTTCGACGACGACTACTACTACTACAAATGCTACTACTACTGCTACTGCTACTACTACTACTACTACTACTACTACTACTACTACATGTTTTGTTTGTTGTTTAACGCAAAAACTACTACTACTACTACTACTACTACTACTACTACTACTACTACTACTACTACTACTACTACTACTACTACTACTACTACTACCAGTGTATGAAATAAGGCCTGTCTGACCGCCCGAGACGGGCTTGATTTCTGACGGACGGTCTAAATTTGCAGCTAGCCAGACTGATGGTCTGGTATAAAATTTAGATGTTCCATACATCTAACTAAATTCACCATATTTGGTCTGGTTAGATCCATTTTGGGCTGGTAACATTTTTAAGTTACCAGCCCTGATGTCTTGCTGGATTTTTGGCTTATTTCATACACTGCTACTACTACTACTACTGCAAATACCATCACAACTACCAGAACTACCAGAAATGCTGTCATACAGCTGGAATATTGTAACAAACAAACTACCAGGAATTTATAACTTGTTTGGTGGAAACAAGGCACTGTACACCCTAACTGTCAACTAACCGTGTCAGCAGACACTTGTCCTCCCCGTCCTTGACCTATGTCAGACAGGATGCGGATTGCCAGACGGCTGGACGTGTCAGCTAGCATCACCTTGCTGTAACTATAGCAATGAGCTATGGCTGTTAATAGTTGGTTTCTGTAAGGAGAAAAGCAGGCCATATCTTACTACATCCACCCAATCACAACCAGATGTATTCACAGTGTTGCTGCAACCATAGTGGCTTCACATGAACAGATGAAAAGATCATCAGTGTTAATCTTGATGCCGGCACACATGCACAAAAAGCTTTGATACCTGAGTTTCTTGATGTAATCTTCCTTGGCTGTTGTTGATTTGATGTTTTTGAAGCTGTCTGCCAGTCTCTTATCATGCTTTGCGCTGTTGAAGTTCTCAAGACCCTCTCCACTGTCAAGGCACCAACACGGAGGATGACCTTGACCAGCCTTCTGCGCCCCACTTCCATCCGGCAAATCCAGAGCCTGAAACATGATCAGTACTGTTCACGATACCATCAGCTTTCAAAAGTGCTCTCATCTATAGTGACTTCATCATCACACTGTGACATCAGACACTTGCACTTTGTCCTGTCCAGACTTAATCACAGTGAAATGGCAGATCTTGTTCATTCATTTTCATGCCAAGACAAAAATCTCAATTCCACCTCAATCCTGGTTACAATAGATACATTGCAAAGCTGGGTTTTTATCAGAAATACACTCCTCTCTCATTCAAGTGTAAGTCAACAAGTGTAAAACTTTGTGATGACATAATTTAGGCTATGACTTCATATAGAAATTGTTAAAGACAGTCCAAAAATAAACACTTTATACCATGTTCCTCTTTGTACTTGTTCAGGTGAGCTAACAAACAGGGATACATACACCTACTGCTACAATACAAAGCCACATGAAGACCCACGCCGCTGCATGAAGACCTACACAGCTGCTACATTAAAAGGTTCATGATTACCCACACAGCTGCATGATAACAAGATCCAGACTGCTTCATAAAGACTCAGACCGCTGCGTCTGCATGAAGACCTACAATACTGCATTAAGACCCACAATGCTGCCCCACACTCCTGCATGAAGAAGTGCAATGCTGCATGAAGACCCAGACTGATGCATGAAGGCCCATACCATTGCATGAAGACCCATATCACTGCATGAAGACACACATCACTGCATGAAGACCCATATCACTGCAAGAAAATCCATATCACTGCATGAAGACCCATACAACTGCATGAAGACCCATATCACTGCATGAAGACACATATCACGGCATGAAGACCCATATCACTGCATGAAGACACATATCACTGACACATATCACTGCATGAATACCCACACCACTGCATGAAGACACATATCACTGCATGAAGGCCCATACCACTGCATGAAGACCCAGACTGATGCATGAAGGCCCATACCATTGCATGAAGACCCATATCACTGCATGAAGACCCATATCACTGCATGAAAATCCATATCACTGCATGAAGACCCATACAACTGCATGAAGACCCATACAACTGCATGAAGACCCATATCACTGCATGAAGACACATATCACGGCATGAAGACCCATATCACTGCATGAAGACACATATCACTGACACATATCACTGCATGAATACCCACACCACTGCATGAAGACACATATCACTGCATGAAGGCCCATACCACTGCATGAAGACCCAGACTGATGCATGAAGGCCCATACCATTGCATGAAGACCCATATCACTGCATGAAGACCCATATCACTGCATGAAAATCCATATCACTGCATGAAGACCCATACAACTGCATGAAGACCCATACAACTGCATGAAGACCCATATCACTGCATGAAGACACATATCACGGCATGAAGACCCATATCACTGCATGAAGACACATATCACTGACACATACCACTGCATGAATACCCACACCACTGCATGAAGACACATATCACTGCATGAAGATCCATACCACTGCCTGAAGATCCATACCACTGCATTAATACCCAGACTGCTGCATGAAGACCCACACCACTGCATGGAGATGCAGACTGCTGCATGAAAATCGATATCACTGCATGAAGACCCAGATGACTGCATGAAGACCCATACCACTGCATGAAGACCCATATCACTGCATGAAGATCCATACCACCGCATGAAGACCCATACCACTGCATTAAGACCCAGACTGCTGCATGAAGACCCACACCACTGCATGAAGATGCAAACTGCTGCATGAAGACCCACAATGCTGCATGAAGACCCATACTGTTGCACGAAGACCCATACTGACGCAGGTAGACCTATATTGCTGCACGAAGACCCAGATGACTGCATGAAGACCCACACCACTGCATGAAGACACAGACTGCTGCATGAGGACCCATACCACTGCATGAAGACCTTTAACACTGCATGAAGACCCAGACCGCTGCTTGAAGACCTAGGCTGCTGCATTGGGACCCATACCACTGCATTAAGACTTCCAAACTGCGTGCATGAAGACTCCACACCACTGCGCCGAAGATGCAAACTGCTGCATGAAGACTCACAATGCTGCATTTAAAGAATTCCATACTGCTGCATGAAGACCTTTAACACTGCATGAAGACCCAGACCGCTGCTTGAAGACCTAGGCTGCTGCATTGGGACCCATATCGCTGCATGAAGACTCATGATTTCCCACACAGCTGCATGATAACAAGATCCAGGCTGCTTCATAAAGACTCAGATCGCTGCGTCTGCATGAAGACCTACAATACTGCATTAAGACCTACAATGCTGCCCCACACTCCTGCATGAAGAAGTGCAATGCAGTGCATGAGGACCCAGACTGATGCATGAAGACCCACACCACTGCATGAAGACCCACACCACTGCATGAAGACCCATATCACTGCATGAGGACACATATCACTGCATGAAGACCCACATCACTGCATGAAGACCCATATCACTGCATGAAGACCCATATCACTGCATGAAGATCCATACCACTGCATGAAGACCCAGACTGCTGTATGAAGACCCACACCACTGCATGAAGATGCAGACTGCTGCATGAAGACCCACAATGCTGCATGAAGACCCAGATGATTGCATGAAGACCCATACTGATGCAGGTAGACCTATATTGCTGCACGAAGACCCAGATGACTGCATGAAGACCCACACCACTGCATGAAGACACAGACTGCTGCTTAAAAATCTAGACTGCTGCATTGGGACCCATATCGCTGCATGAAGACCTACATACCTGCTCCAGTGAGCTGATGTAGCATGGATACCCTGTGCTTCGTAAAACATCAAGTACTGCAGTATTTGTCTTCTCTCGCTGCTCAGATGGTAAATCAAGAACACCCATTTCTAAAACGAACAGTTCACAATTGTTAAATTATTATACTCATGGAACAGAAATAAAAAATTTATACAACATAAGTGTTTCAAGTGTCAGTATTGTGTATTTCAACCTTTTACAAAACTTTTGCCTTGCAACATAATCTTAACAGTTTTTTTCTGAAAACATAAATTCGAACCTTTCATGAAATCAAATTTTTGTCTTCAACTCATTGTTTTCATGATCAAAAGATGTAAAACTGGGATTTTACAATGACCCTACAAGTTGTCTTCCATGTTGGATAACTGTCCTAAGAATATCCAACAAGGTGTCTGTACACAATTACCCTAAACTATTTCCTAACTGAGTATCAACATTGCTTAAACCATGTGAGCAGCACTTACCGTCAATATGAACAAGACTGGGTTTGAATCTTAATCTCTTGTGTGCCCGTTGACTGAGACCCTTCAATAAACATAAAACAATGAAAAACTGACTATACCTCTGACATACATTTACCGGTCGCGTACCGATCCGTCAAATTCTGATTTCAGAGTAGTAAAATGCATTCGACGGATTTGCACTGTGATATTAGCTATGAATTAGTTAACAAAACATTGGATCATACACAAAAAAAAGACGCAAGGGGTGTTGGACGGTTTGACTCTCTATATTTTTGTACTTTTGTACAAAATTGAAATTGATGCATTAAATAAAATGCATTCATAAGTAGAAATATATAGTTCATGATGTCCAAACTTCTCGAGTAGTAATTGAGACTTGGTGCATAAACCTGGGAGTATAATAATGTAAGGTACACAAAGTCTCATGGTAGGGATTAAACTTAGGTCTCTCTAATCACAAATATCTTTCTTATAAAAATTGCTTAACACAAGGTAAGTTTTTCATTTTGATTGGCAAGTGGTCCTACAAACTTAACAAAAAAATGGGTGCTTTGTATAATATTCTGGTAGATACTTTTGTCTGCTCTCCTCAAACCTAGGACATACAAGGACATGGAACTCGTCTTCATCTGCGTTTCTACAGAACGGGCAGAGCGATGCATCAGGGTCAGGGTTTTTAGCCTGCCGGGAATTTTGTATACAGAAATTATGAGCACTACCTCTGAACTTCGAAAGTGCTCTACGGAGCTTATCTATATCCTGTGCAAGCCACGTCCATCCACAGCCATAACTAAATAGTAATTGCCTAACATATGATACCCAGTTCGCTGTCAGCAATCAGAAAGTCTTCACCAGAATCTGTTCTTGTTCATTAAAAAAACCATGTAGTCTAGTCCAATACAAGCCAACCCCTTAAATAATGAACTTAGACTCTCCCAGTGTGTTAACAGTCTGAAATTCGACCGATTAACACAGAACCACTCAAGCATGATTCAACGGATCGGCACTGCTTGCTGTTCAAAATTCGACGGATTAGGCCGTAATCACATTTACCAACTCACAGCAATAAGGAAACAGATAGACCACTGCTGAATACTGCAGTCAATAAATATATGTATCACAGACACATGGCAATTATTGAGTCTTGGCAACATAAATCAGTGGCCTATATCATGAACAGCATCAGGTGCTGTGTGTACTCATCGGACACCCCTTGTCAGTTCTTATGGCAGCACAGCATTCTTTCCTTGAGTAGAGTCTTAGTTACTCAACCCGGACACATGCCCCAGCTGTGAGTCCTACTTATGTGTCCTAGCTAATGACACAGCTGTGTGTTCTAGACACTTGACCCAGTTGTGTGTCCTAGATACTTGACCCAGTTGTGTGTCCTAGATACTTGACCCAATTGTGTGTCCTAGATACTTGACCCAGCTGTGTGTCCTAGATACTTGACCTGGCTGTGTGTCTTAAATACTTGACCCGACTGTGTGTCCTAGATACTTGGCCCAGCTGTGTGTCCTACATCCTTGACCCAAATGTGTGTGGTATATAATTGACATGGCTGTATGTCCTAGATACTTGACCCAACTGTGTGTCCTAAATACTTGGCCCGGCCATGTGTCCTAGATACTTGACACAGTTGTGTGTCCTAGATACTTGACCCAACTGTGTGTCCTAAATACTTGGCCCGGCTGTGTGTCCTAGATACTTGACACAGTTGTGTGTCCTAGATACTTGACCTTACTATGGAAATATGTAATTTGACAAGGAAAGGCAAAGGTTCCAACAGTTATGCATTTCCTACATAATCTTCATCATTTAAGCTGATAGCAGTGTAGTGTCATTAAAGATGATACAAGTTAATTCTAAAATAAAGTGGTTTTCTGCATCTGAGTTAGATACCAATTTTAACCAGAAGATTTTGATAGCTTACATTTATGAGGACAGGTGAACATAACTTCTATTTTCAAAACAGTAATTATAATATTAATCACTGACATGGAAAGTTTGTTATTTTTAAGTTGTAACTTCATACATCTCTATTCGTTGACAGTTTACTGATCTCACCTCCTGTACTAGATGTAGGAGGGCTGAAGAACATGGTCCACCAGAAAATGCAAGTAGAATCTCCTCCCCATCTCGGATGAGGTGAGACTTTCCAATAGTCGCCCGGAACTTGTGTACAACATATACTATGAAGCAATCCCTGAAAACAACATTTTTGTTAATGCTGATTTTTCTTTAATCATATACAGCAGAATACAACATCAGGAAACAAGGTATTAAACATGTTACAGCTACTTCAAAACTTGCCTTGCTCCTCATAGCTTTTTCCAAAACTACCTGGGAAGGGATGGAAGATATATTTTCTAATTATTAATTTCATTTCTGGATTACTTTTTTTATAAACATGGATGATGGAAAAAGTAAATTTAATTCTAATGTATCACATGAATTCCACAGCCACACCCAAATGACAATTGTATATTAAAATGTGTTTCATAGCAACAACTTAAATTTCATGGATAGGGGGGTTCGGGTTCATTGACTGTGCTGATTGAACACTTAGGCATGGATCAGTGGATCATTGTTCATATCAATCATTGGATTGTCTTGTCCATTTACAGAATATCACTGCATCATGTAGTTTAACAAGCCTGAAATGATACTTGATAATATGAATCAATACCAGTTAGTTCATCAGTCAGGACAATAAAGTTACACATGGCATACAGTTAGTCATCAACTGATAATCTATGAATCTAATAGAATCTAATAGAATGTCAGTGTTTACTTTGATAGCTGAGCAGGAACATCTCTTGTATATTAGATCTTACCTACATAGAGCATCATTCACCCTCGTGACAACCACTGGTTTAGCGACCTTACACTTCATGCAGACCCGGTCAACACTGTAAGCAAAGAATGGAGCCGTGCAATGTCAATACCACACACAATATAGTCAATAAAAACCATGACGAAATATATGTAGGGCTACTTTTATGCTAGCCGAGAGCCGCGATGCGGCTCTCGGCTACTTTCATGCAGAAAAATATTGACTCGTGCAATACGTTTGGAAAAAAATGTTAATCTGGACTCTTCACGGTTATCATACATGATCATATATTTAAATGTCACAACGTTTCTTCGGTATTGTTGATAATCGTAATGTTCGTCTGCTACTGAGCAAGAATATCAGAAATCATTCAGCAAGTTCATGACCACATGATCACGATACCTGACGGCTGATCTTGGAACAGGTGTGTCTCCATCGCCATCTTGCACGCTACACATCTTCCTTTCCCTTTTATGAAAATTTGACGTCAAAACAGAGGCAAAAGGCGTATATATAATGGACACATGGACTTCAGTTTACACGTGTTTGCATAACATCCGGTTTGGAGATATGCAAAAGACGAACTTCCTTTCATCGAAAACATGAACTGAAGCTTAAACGTAAAACGATTCAAAGTCTTTAGTGAATACACCTGCTGGAAATTGTCTCAATAGGACAAACATATCGATTGAGTGAACGCATATATATGCTTTTTAAGAAATCTGTTTGTGTATATAGCTTAACTCATGTACTAAAAAAGGAATATTAGGGAGCAACCATTTGATATCTGTGTTGAGATTTAGGCTCTGCCTATTGTGGCAACTGGATACAGGGAATAACAGCTACTAAGTGTGTGGTTTAAGTGCTGTGACTGTGTTATGTTTCCCCACACACATATGGTCTGCTCGACTCACTGTTCACTAATGCCTCCAGGGTCTAAACAGTATTAACTCTATATGTTGTAACTGTAGTATCTCCAGCTTTTTCGACAAGGGTGGCGTTTGAGTTGAAGATGAAATGTAAATATACAGTTATAAAATATAAGGTACAGATTATGCAGTGTATAAAATATAGCCCGTCCCACCGTCCTTGAGGGTCCTTTTTTGTGAAGGACGGTCTAATAAATAAGTAAGGCCGTCCTTTGGTCAGGTGAAATATTTGAAAATTTAAACTTAACTTGGTTTGAACTTCGTCTTAGCAATCATGCTCTTTCTCGTTTTCGTTTCAAAATTTCTTGATCTTTTTTTGTTTTAGTTTTGGGGACTGGCTGTGTTTGTTCAGGACTGGTCATTATTTTTGACAGCCAGTCCTTGGACAGGCCGTATTTCAAAACTATTTTATACACTGGATTATATTGTTTGATGTTTGTTTCTTTTCTTTTGCAACTCCAGTATTTTCATTGAAATTTAGAGTGATTATAGGGAAGTTTTATTAGAAAGAAGAAGTGTGTTTTCTTTACTCAAAGAGGAGAAGGAAATATATAGTTATAAAACACTTGCCATAGAGTTCTTGATTCAAACTGAGATATTTATTTACATTATATTCAGGCAATAGGGAGGAAGGTACAGCATATTGGTTTCAGTGAAGTGTATCAACAAGACAGTGACATGTCTGACTCACAGTGAACATCCTAAGTGCAAGATGTTTGGGTACAGATCATGGAAGAAGCTCTAGTCATCTGACAGACTAACGAATTCCATGGCTACATGGCCAGCACCTGGAACCACCTGGAACCACCTGGAGGGATGACACTCTCGTCTGAACAAGGTGATGCAATGAACACCCCCCAAAATGTTTGCTCTGGTCAAGGTATTGTAGTTGGTGGAGAAGAAGGTTGGTTGGTTGGTTGGTTGACCTCGCACTCCGCAATATTCCAGCTATATGGCGGTGGTCTGTAAATAATCGAGTCTGGACCAGACAATCCAGTGATTAACATATCATGAGTAATTGGGATATGATGACACATGTCAGCCAAGTCAGTGAGCAGAGACCATATAGATGTTTGTTCTTACAAGAACGTGTTAGATTGAGAAATAAGAACAGTGGGTTTTTATACTCAAAGTGGGGAAGGAAATATACTTAATAAATAATTCGACAGCTGATGATATACATATGTTACAGATATTTTTAACTTCCTGATACTGCTACGTTTAAAATCTGACGCGGTTGGGGATAGAACCCGCGACCTTCCGCTCTCCGGGCGGATTGTCAGTTTGTATATCTATAGATCATTAATGTATGTACCATATTCATTGTTAAGTTCTGAAGCTGATGGACTTATTTAAACCAGTTAAATCTGTGGACAAGAGATCAAGCAGAAGTCAAACTTTAGTCAAATAGCAGTGAAACTACTTCAGACATCTCAAATTATCTCCCTTTGTAAGCTCAGGAAATGCAGGAAACAGCTGCATTTGAAACAGGAACATTCTGACAATTTGTGAAACAGGATCCATTTGTTTCTTTATTACCAGACACATTTCCATGTTAATCCAGCATGGTGTCACAATGAGTGTCAGAACTTTGTTTGTTGACATTTAAACCAGTAAAATGTAGATTGAATGGTCAGAGCTGTTGTTCTACTCTTTACCACATTATGGGCTGTCAATTGCTATGGCTGTAATCTCACACTCACTCACTCTTGACATGTGTACCCAGTGTAAATAACATTTTCCTGCATCTATCTTACCTTAAATATTTAATTCTCAAAATGTTATTGGTCAATTCATAACTTTCCATGTACCATATAAATATTCCTCGCTGTCAGGCTAACAGACATTTGGCTTGCCAAAGTTTGCCACAGATGTGCATATTGGTATATGGTCTCTGGCTTGCCTGTGTCTGATCTCTGCAATTCAAGCTCCTTACAGTGAAACAATTTGTAAGCTGTGAGGAGTGAGTTGGGTTTAACACCACTTTGGACAGTATTAAAGTCAAATCAAGGTTTGATGTGAGAGGAAAGTGATGCAGGTGATATACCAATCCTCAGGTAAATCACATAGACACAGATATAGGACAGACAAACCTTGAAACAAGGACTGTTACCATTACTGGTTTCTGATGTGCTCAAGGGAGGTAACTCTTTACTGTGAGTATCACACGACAGGGCAACCTTGTAATTTTGTTGACTTTAATTATGTGAGTCACTGAGCTTCAGAGATTGAGCAGCAGTGAAAGAAGGCAAAGGAGCAAAACCCTATTTCTATTATAAATCTGTAAAATGCACATGAAAATAGGGACTGTGTCGTAAATTTGTGGTTACAATTGGTCACCATAACGAGTTACGAACTGGCCTAGAAATTTGTCAGGTGGTGGCATTTTTTCTTGCTTGGTACGTTGATATGACAGGTCGTGCAGTTTGGTCTCATGTGGGAATATTGTGAGTTCTTTCATCCAAAGTTGGCTGTCATAATACTAGTATATGTTTACCTGATGTGAACATCTCTCCTTCACTTAAACCTAATACATTCATTCTGAGTGGTCCTGTATGTGAAAATACGTTAACAATACCAGGTGCAATGGCTGACAGGAAAGTATAGATAGTATTTATGTGAATGATATTTGTGTAGTGTCAATGACTGATAACCTTGGTAATAATTATGTAATAATAATAATAGATTTCTATAGTGCCTAACAGGTTGCTCAGTGGCGCTGTGAACAGGAGATATTAGAAAAAGTCAGTCAGTGATATTAGAATAGCTAGTCAAAGGCGTGCTTGAAGAGGTGGATATACAATCCCTCTGCTGTCACAGATAGTACTTGGGTAGGTGATGGCCTGAGTGGACGATCTGTCTACTGTCACAGATAGTACTTGGGTAGGTGACGGCCTGTGTGGACGATCTCTCTACTGTCTCAGATAGTACTTGGGTAGGTGACGGCCTGCGTGGACAATCCCTCTGCTGTCACAGATAGTACTTGGGTAGATGATGGCCTGAGTGGACAATCCCTCTGCTGTCACAGATAGTACTTGGGTAGGTGATGGCCAGCTAGACGATCTCTCTACTGTCACAGATAGTACTTGGGTAGGTGATGGCCTGCATGGAGGATCCCTCTGCTGTCTCAGATAGTACTTGGGTAGGTGATGGCCTGTAGTGGGTAGGTGATGGCGATCTCTCTACTGTCCCAGATAGTACTTGGGTAGGTGATGGCCTGCGTGGACGATCTCTCTACTGTCCCAGATAGTACTTGGGTAGGTGATGGCCTGCGTGGACCTCTTGGTAGATCTCTCTGCTGTCCCAGATAGTACTTGGGTAGGTGATGGCCTGCGTGGACGATCTCTCTACTGTCCCAGATAGTACTTGGGTAGGTGATGGCCTGCGTGGACAATCCCTCTGCTGTCACAGTTAGTACTTGGGTAGGTGATGGCCAGCTAGACGATCTCTCTACTGTCACAGATAGTACTTGGGTAGGTGATGGCCTGCATGGAGGACCCCTCTACTGTCACAGATAGTACTTGGGTAGGTGATGGCCTGCGTGGACAATCCCTCTGCTGTCACAGTTAGTACTTGGGTAGGTGATGGCCAGCTAGACGATCTCTCTACTGTCACAGATAGTACTTGGGTAGGTGATGGCCTGCATGGAGGATCCCTCTACTGTCACAGATAGTACTTGGGTAGGTGATGGCCTGTGGACGATCTCTCTACTGTCCCAGATAGTACTTGGGTAGGTGATGGCCTGCGTGGAGGATCCCTCTGCTGTCTCAGATAGTACTTGGGTAGGTGATGGCCTGCGTGGACGATCTCTCTACTGTCCCAGATAGTACTTGGGTAGGTGATGGCCTGCGTGGAGGATCCCTCTGCTGTCACAGATAGTACTTGGGTAGGTGTTGGCCTGCATGGACGATCTCTCTACTGTCACAAATAGTACTTGGGTAGGTGATGGCCTGCGTGGACAATCCCTCTGCTGTCACAGGTGATGGCCTGCGTGGGCCGATCTCTCTACTGTCCCCAGATAGGTAGTACTTGGGTGTCACAGGTAGTACTTGGGTAGGTGACGGCCTGAGTAGACCATCCCTATCGTAGATAGTACTTGGGTAGGGTGTGTATGATCACCTGAGAGGACAATCCATGTCACAGATATTACTTGGGTAGGGTGTGTATGATCACCTGAGAGGACAATCCGTCACAGATAGTACTTGGAGTGGACACCGCATCTGAGTGGACAACTCAGTTTACACTGTCACACATAGCAGGTGTCTCCTCTCAACAGAGTGAACACAAAACTACATTAAAACGTCATAACGAAAGACTTTATTCATGTTAAAAAGTTACTGGGAGCTGACTTTGACCAAGAAATTGACTCCGCCCTTTATCACTTATCCCAATCAAGTAACAGACAAAACACAGCTCCATAACAATTAGCATGCTAAACAATGGACACTGTGACAACACAGACCCTTGCTCGTTATACCATAAAATAGTGTTTCATTAGAAATCCCTACATCACTTTCCCCGCAGTATAGAGAAAAACTGAATGAAGACAATAGTTGTCAATTTCAACGACAGCAATATATTTCACTATAACATGACTACAAACACGTTCATTGCCATTCAAGTTTTGATAATTACAATTATTTTTTGACTGCTCAAAAGAACAATCATCAAACAACTTTTAAAATATCTTTACAAACAATGCTTAATAACAAGTCAAATCTCACTGTTTGTCAAACATTGTTCAATAAGTCAGACGGTTGTTTGTTTGCTATTTTAATAACATGTTATACCATAACTGGTCTGTTAAACAATGTTTAATAACAAATAAAATGTTATTTTGTTATTTGAACAAAGTTTAATAACAAGTAAAACATTATCTTGTGTGTCAAACAATGTTTAATAACAAGTAAAACATAATATATTTTTCTCCTTGTCAATGATTATCAAATACAATGAGAAATCACATTGATAAAGGTAGACAAACAAAATATCCCATATGTTTTGTCAAATCTCTAAGAATTAAACTTAGACCATTATTTAAAACAAAGCAATTTTAAAACGACAGCAACATATCCAAACATATACCAAACAGTAAATATATTCAACATTAGGAGATAATCTTCCAACCAAATAAGCATTCTTCATTCTCAACTGTCTGAAATCTTACTACCTGATACTTCAACCATTGCTTTTCTTGTTTACCTGAGCATATCTTGTGCAAACAGTTTGTCCTTCGGTCATAAATATCAATGTTTCAAATGAAATCAGTTTAAACTCATTTCCATAACACCTGATCAACTGAAATTGTTGACTTTACCACAAAATTAGTTTCAACTAAATAATGAACTTGAGATAGGATCTTTAAGATCGTTTCAAAATCTATGGGATATGGCTGTTATTATCATGTTACTGACAGCTTATACGAATATGTGTTTATATATATATGTTTCAGAAATGTACACAGATTAATTTGCAAAACGTATGTGTTTGCAATATTTTGGTGGCACTAATGCAGACAAATCCCGTGCAAACATTTTAGTACTGAAGATATTTGATAAAACTTAAGATGAGAATGACAAACACAATGTCTTACATACACATTGTCCATGAACATTGCACGCCGCTATTGCTGAAGTGCTCTGGTAGGACCACATCGCTGTTGTGTAGTGGTCCACTCCGGGTACATATAAAATGGGGTCTTCTCTGTGCAACCATTGGCTTCCTTGGGTCAAATATGGACTTAAACTGACCCTACTTGAAATGACACAAAAATAGGCTTATTTTTTCAGTTTGAACCAATCAACATTCAATTACAGCGTGCCTAGTTTCTGAAATGTATTCAGAGTTATCTCCCCTTGTTCTTGATTTTAACAACTGAGCAGTAATTTTGACAATGAAGAAAACAAGAACCAAAAACATTTTCAGCCTAATAAATATAAAAACATCTGGTAACAAAAGCAGTTTACAATCTTTGGTAAGATCGTTCCCTGTTAACAAATTAAACTGGTATACAGTATGATTAGAGAACTTAAACTGGGATATCCATTACTGCTAAACCATTTTTGTGAAACCTATTCATGAAGAGCACATGAATACCTGACTTCATATTTGAATAGTTGAATTCTTTCTCTCTGTTTGTACACATGGGGCCTGATGTTCAATAACTTGGGGAGGAAGCCTGGGATGTTAAAGCAGAAATGTCTATTTCGGCACTGCTTCAAGTCAGAAAGGACATTTCTTTCAGGACATCGTACATGTTCAGCAAATAATTCTTATAATTTGAAAAACTTGAGGTAAATTTATTATTTTCCCCTATCTTATTTTAAACTGTTCTAAATCTCATACTTCTTATTGAAGATATGTCTGTTTTGAACTTGTGTTCTTGATCTAACCCAGGTCAGACAATGACACTCTAAAATGTGGAGTCTTTAGAATCAATCTGTTCACTATGACGCCAAGATTAGTTTAATCAGTTTAAGTCCAAATTTGCTAACAGTCAACGCCCTGGTTGACATGACTGCCTCTCATGAAAGTGTGACACAATCAAAGAGTTACCCATATCCACACCTTCTTTGGAGCTCATAGCAAATAAACAAATATGTACAAAAAATAGCTCATTATATATATAATACTTTATATATACGATCCTATATACAGCGGTAATCACTGAGTCTGTCTGCTCATAATACAGAAAAAGGCATGGCCACCTGATTGATTTATTAATTATTGATCATGTGAAATTGATCACTTTACATCAATCTCATGAAACCGATTACCTGAAATTGATTTTATTCAACCAACCTCACAAAATGGATCGCTGAAAATGGATCGTGAAAAAGTTCCATTTCAAACCGATCAGTATTCATTCATATGAAACTGACCGTTTCATACAGATTATGAAATCACTCATGATGTTAATGGTTGTTGATGCCAACCACAGAGGTCATTTGCAAACAAGTTGAGATTTATCAAAACATGAGTGTATATGTACACACGGGCTGTCCGTCCACTTTACACATATACATAATATTCCTGTACACATGTACAACAGTATCTTGTGATCACATATCGGTGATATAACATTTTGAGTCGAACAGTTCAAAATGAATACCAAAGCACTTATGAAATGAATGTTAAATGACTTAATGGCAAAGGGAACTCCTGGCACTAAACCTTCAAATTCGCATCCCGAAAACTTATTTGCAAATTCATAACAATTGTGACACATCAAAATCAAATATACCTTGGGATGACGTGACGATTATATATTACGCCTATAAATATATCTACTAAGAACCAATACAGTGTGCATACAATTTTACTAACTATTCAACTTAACCTTGCACCCAGTGACCTTGGAGTCACGTAAATGGTAAAAAATAATAGTCCATTCAGACTGACCCATGACAAATGTGAGAAACGGAATCGGCTCTGAGTGTCTATATTGGTACAGAATGAAATGTACACATGAAAAATGACAACTACCTGCGTAATTGTTGCAATAGCGGGATTCATTCGATTGGGTGTGTCACTGAGCGAGTTGCAGAAATTGAGATTCAATGCAGATGTTCCCTTCATCAGTAATGTTTCCAGTGATATCAGTGGGTGAGTGCACAGTCTTAATTCTTTCCATGTCAGTCGGGTGAATAAAATATGCTGGGCCTGCATGATCAAGAATGAACCTGAGAGTGTCGTTTCCCTATATATTTGCACACACAAGAAGGTATCACTTCTAGATGGAATTCGGTCTCCAGTTATATACAGGTTATTGCTTGACAATGTAACTATTTTGTTTTGTAAAAGTATAGCATAAAAAGTCCGCCTGGCGACTATATTTCTGAATAGAAACAGATATCGAAAGTGATATGAAACAATATTGAATGAAAACAGTGATACCTTCCAAACAATAGACTCCTCACTGCACTTTTCTCTTTTCATTTGGTATAACTGTTAAAAAGGAAGAGTTTGTGGCACTGTGAGGAGCTGACAATAACTGCTATCCCTGAAATTATGATGGCATTGAAAAAATTGAAGTGTATAATCCTTATTAATGAATAGTAAATTGTCAAAACTTAATAGGCTTGTATGCACTATGTGCCTCCATCAGTTGTGAAAACGTACGGCCACTTGATAATCAGCAGTAACACGTGCCTTTTCTCAGTCAGATAATGAAAGCAGCTGTTTTAAATCAAGGAAACAAAATCATCCCAGTTCTGGGCAAGATTTTTGTACAAAATGTGATATTGCTTAATACTGAAGCAAAGTCGTCTGCAAGGCAATGGCACATGTTTCATAAGACACATTTTATGTGGATTTTTAGTGTTATATACTGTAAGCCGTCACTGAGTTGAGCAAATGCTGTTTTCATCTTGTTTGTATCAGGCCATGTCCTGATTTGATGACTAAAAATAGCAGCTACACTCGAAATCAGCCATATTTGTCATGGGGGATGGAGGCGCGTAGTGAATACACAACCCGTAAAATATTGACGATGTTCATGTTTTCATTTTCTCACTGCTAACAGTACAAAATAAAGGAATATTTAAAACGGTTGGGTTAACGGCTAACAGTATGCGGTCACCCAAAGCATTAACTACAAAGAACAATCAACTACACAAGTTATTGACAAGTGGATCTAACAAAGTGTGGAAGTGTTACACACTAAACCTTCAGGCACAAACATAACAGCAGCACTACTTACTTGTCCTAACATAAACTTAATATGACAGAACACACAATTAGCAACAGAACTTCATCAATTCCAACAAACGTAACAGTACTCCACATTAGTAACTTGGCACAAAATCTCTATGTACAAATACCACAAAATTTTGAATGTCACTTAACCTCTGCTATTTTCTTAGGCCTATATTGGAAAAGATAGTGATTTAATATTTAACATCACTTCAGCATATTTTAGTCATAGATCAAGGAGGGAAAATACAGACAGACAGAAATGCACATCTTTTTCAACTTTTTAATATATTCTCAAACATTAATAAATGTGAAATAGATCTACAGAACATTATTTGACACCTTCTTCTATTAGAATGGGGTATATTTCACCAATTAGTAAGGAGTGGGTGTTTGGCTGCTGTAGCATGGTGTATGACAGCTTGTGCAAGTTTAAAATTATTTTAAAACGTTTATCACAAGTCTTTACATAATACAACAGATCTTTCTGAATTATTAAAACATATTTATTCGGGGTCATGCTATCATACAAAGAAAGAAATCTACTATACTGGGTAAATATAATTCAGTGAAAGGGAGCTGGAAGGTTTCTTACAGATTTGGATGAAGTAAAAACCTTTTGAGCAAGGTGTGGCAAGCGGATGTCGTGGGCGGGCACTTTGGACGCCACAAGGACGATCTGAGACTAGGTGTGCCTGCCAGTTATGTTCTGATAGATCGTGTGGATGAAACTCGTATAGTTTATTACCAGTGTATCATATAACATTTCTTTGAAATCACTGACAAAAAGTGTCCTAACTATACAGATCAAAGTGCTATGGTGAACAGTACCGCAGTTAATGTCATGTTGGTGTTATGTAAAACTCATCTGCAGACACAGAAGGCTAATATTTGAAAAAATGAGAAACTTGATTAAATTGTGAAGAGGAATGTTGCAGAGTCTTGCAATGAAAATTAAGGTGGGCCTGCAGATTAGTAATATTTTAAAGACAGTAAAAAAGAGTTGTCTACCTTTGACTACATGCATCTCTTCAACCGCATTGACTAATTAATAGCAGAATTGTCATATTGTGTATCATTGCTAACTTCAGAAGCACTAATCTGACAAAAGAAAGACCATTTGACGTTGAAATATTTTGAAATTCATTTCTTGAAATATATTTATTTTCTATCAAAATTGTCAAACATGTACGAAAGGGATTTCGTGATTCAATTTTTATGTATTCAAATCATGATGTACTGAAATATGTGCAATTTAAAACACTACAAAGGGGTCTTCTTTGAAACATTCTGTGTTCAACAAGATTACTATGAGACTGAAAATCTAACAAAATAGGCCTTGAAAAACACTCAGCATTAATAGTTTGGGTTTATCTTGAATATTTACAAATACTGAGACAAAGATTTGAGACGAAACAAAAACAAGACCGAAGAAAATGGAGTTTTGTTTTCACAAAAGAAATTACCAACAGTTCCTAAGACACTGAAGACTTCAATCACTTGTTTTTTTCTCAATTTTATGTTAAACATTCATCATAAATATATGTGTTTTAAACAAACTTTAACATACTTTATTACACCGAGATAGCAAAAGCATTCATTTCATTCAAAAAGCACTGCAAAAGCATAAATATATGCCTGTCATCAAAATACCAATTTCCAAGTCAGATTTTCAATTTGCAAATATATATGTATGTATATATATATTCAAAAGTTTTTGCAGTTAGACAGTTTATTGAACAGTGAAAATAGTCTAAAACTGGATGAAAATGATCATAAAATATTCTTTGATACCATATTAACACTTGGATATGTCAACGTTTAAAGATTCAATGGTAAATATCACAAAACATACGAGAGTTCTCTCCCCCTGGGACACGAGCTGCTGTGAGATTGAGAAGGCATTCAACAACACATTGTGCAAAAATTAAGGGAATGCATTTACCAAGAATATATCTGATTCACAATTTCCGTGCTCGTACAGACAAAAATAACATCTCATTATCTGCCTTCAAATTCAAGCAACAATTCTAGCCAAAGATAAGAATACTGCTTTCCCTTAAGTTTTGAAATGAACAGGATTATATCTTTTCAAAAATAAGTGTAACATGTAGGACTGGAGGTTACTTTCCATGTTCTAACACACCAGACTAGAATGTGGCAAAAAACCAGACATGGACATGGCTGAGATCAAAAACTATGTTTGACAGTAGAGACATATATTGAGAGAAACAAATAAAGGAACACAGGAAAATTCTAGTGTTCCTCTCATATGTTCCAGTTTTCATCACCAGCTTGAATAGCGCTGTGGGAGGAAATCTGAGAATAAATAAAGCATCATTGCCATGAAGTGGTGTTCCCTTATTTGTTTCCCTCCGTATATAACCAGCCTGTTTCAGCCTGAACAGACTAATTCATTCCTGTAAGACATTCTATTAAAACCAAATATTAGGTAGGTGTCATTTTCAGATATTTTTTTTTCTGCATATAATACAGATTTCATGACCTCAAAACAAAAATTATGTAAGAAATATTATAATCATTATTGATAAAACTTCACCTGCCTATCATTCTGGTGTGAGTCATATTAAGTCAATTCTTACAGATTCATTGATTTCATTTACAGTTTTAACATTTTTTATCACAGAGTGTAAGCTTCGCAGATGTTTGCAACTGGAACTTACAGTTTGGTTCATGGTGCCAACAGACGATTAACAGGGCATATTCATCATTCATAAATGTCCCACTTATTGTTGAAAATGATATAACAAACAATGCATAACTGCCACAGGATTATCTGGTGTCATTCATATCCTTCTGTTGAAGAAAGGCACTCTACTACTGTTGTGTGTTCACCCTGGCAGCCACTCCGGGCTTGGAGGGGAGTGTCCCTGATACCGCATCTCCACGGAAATTAGTTGTGGTGGCTGTGTTACCGCTGACAACAGCAAACGTACAAGTATCTCTGGTGATTCTACCATCAAGCCTACCGAAGGAGGGATTTGTACACGATTATGGCTGTATGAATAATGTAAACACTAAACATTCATTTAAGTCACTGATCAATGGATTCTGGTTTTGTGTCCTCGGATCTTTCCTGTTCCGATTCGGAATCAACGCTAACCTGATCGGGGGCAGACCAGCGTCGTTTTCGGGGGAGATTGGAGTCACCTTCTGATTCGGATGATTGACAGGTGGCCTGGTGAGCAGGCGACCTTGAACTATGTAAATGAGTGGTTGTTACAGTGTCTGAAAAGGTCACTGTATGGCCTTGGTGACCTTGACCCTGATGTGCTTTCTCTTCGGGTGGCGACTCCCTTTCACGAGCTTCACTTTGACTCTGTTGTTGGCTTATTTCGGCTGCTTTGAGGGGCACGTCCTTGTGAGTGAGGGATATGCACACATCTCCCACGGACAATTTGTGACACTCAAGTCCATATCGGTGGAGAGTCCTTTCTGCCGAGCACGAAGACCAGCCTCGTCCAAACACAAAAAAATGGATGCTCCATCGTTGCTTCCACTGTCACCTGTAAACCCAAAAACAATCCATTAATGCTCTGATAACTGCAGTGAAAGATTCAGTTCACGAAGCACACAGTGAGTGAGTGATATTAGTTTTACCCTGCACTCTGCAATATTCCAGCTATATGGCGGTGGTCTGTAAATAATGAAGTCTGGACCAGACAGTCCAGTGATCAACAGCATGAGCATTGACCTACGCAATTGGGATACAATGATACATGTCCACCAAGCCAGTGAGCCTGACCACCCGATCCTGTTAGTCGCCTCTTACAAGCATGGGTTACTGAAGATCAATTCTAACCCGGATCTTCACAGGTTCCTAGTACACAGTGTTAATCACCTTGTATTAATGAATTGATCACCTTGGTACGATGAGTTCATCACTTTCTAACAGTGAATTTATCACCTTGCAATAACAAAATGATCACTTTTGAGGAAATAAGGTGATCAACTTGCATTAATGAATTAATCAACTTGAATCAACCATAAACATAGACTTGACGATTTATATCAAAAAGGCTTGTTGACTATGCACGTTAAAATAACTGAAAGTGGAGAGGCTTACGAAACCAAATCTTAATTAAAAATTCTAAGGAATAACATATCATTCAACAAGAGCAACTACAATGCACCCTTATCAAAATAAACCTCACATAATTAAAAAACTAGTTTTATTGTGACTAGTGTGCAGTATTTTATCCTTCTTTCTACAATTTGAAATCTACATCTGTGGCCAATCACTGTCTGCTAGTTGAAGCAACACCCAAAATAAAACAAATTTAAACTGAGCCACATGTATGGAATACTGAAACGGTGTATTAATGACTACAGTCAGACACCCCTGCAGACATAAACTATGGTGTTGCAGACAGTTAATATAATGAAACAGAAATCGTGAGATGGTTCAGACAATTATTTCACAGTCACATTTATACCACGAAATACGCCTCCAGCAACACAACTAAAACGAGCCATGCTTTGTATTCTTCTGATGGCTTCACTTTTGAGATACAAAAGAAAAAACCTAGTCAAACCACTCTACCTCAGTAACTCCTCTCGCTGGGCGGGCAGTGCTTTAGTGCCGGTAAAACGATATACCACAATTTACAATATTGATATAATGAATACTGGTATATTGCGTTTTTCAAAATCATGCATATTTTCATCTCATTTGCAACATTTATAAAAGTCAAACTGAAATTATCAGAATCAGAAATAAGCAACAGATTTGCGATGAAAAATGTGAAATTATTTATTCATGATCAGCTCCTAGTATGTGTGTGTATTACATATACATTGTCACCATTAGAACCTGAGACAGCAACACAGATTCTATTCTGATATACACGGGGGTGGGATGGCTGATTTAATGACACACCAAGGTAACTTGACCTTTGAACAAGCAGAGATGAAATAACGCATGCCGTAGACTGGCCTCCATATCGCAATACATGCATCAATATTGCAATAAGTAGGAAAGTCACGCCTATACACATCACTACGAGTGGGTGAATATTTAAGCTTTGAACAGTGCTTTAGCGAATGAGTGAGTAAATTGGGTTTTACACAGCTTTTACCAATATTCCAGTAATATCATGGCGGGGGACACCAGAAATGGGCTTCCCAAATGTGCCCACATGGTGAATTGAACCCGGATCTTTGGCATGACGAGTGGACGCTTTAACCACTAGGCTACCCCACACCCACAGTACTTTAGTGATACAACAGGGGTTCTTTGATGGGCATTTTAGAAGTTGAGTTGATGAAGAATAATTACAATTATTATGGATATACAACTTCTTTTATTCTGTGGAGGCGACGTTTCGACATAGGTTCCAATGTCGTCAATATCACTTGCTTGGCAACGACATTAGAACCTATGCTGAAACGTCGCCTCCACAGAATCAAAGAAGTTGTATATCCATAATAATTGTCATTATTCTTCATACAACAGGGGGTCAAGTGATTGTGGGAAGTGCTGGGGTTTTTTTGGTTAATGCCGCCTTCAGCACTATTCTAGTACTGATTGATTCTAGTAAATGATTGAGTCTGGACCAGGCAATCCAGTGATCAACATCATGAGCATCAATCAATCGGGTTATATCAATCAGTTGACCACTCTATCCCGTTAGTCACTTCTTACGACAAGCATGGGTTACTGTAAATCAGTTCTAACCCGGATCTTTATGAGTTGATCGTGGGAAGTGAAACAGATCAAATCATTTCATCAAATGCATCAGCAATAGCTGGGTGCTGACAGACCAAGGATCAATTATTGAACCTGAGATCAGCATATCCTGACATGGCCAAGGCGCACAACTCATACAGAGTCAGTAGCAGGGATCAACGCAAACTTTAACCCTGATTGTTTGGTGTGAAATAGACTAACGCTTAGTCTCTGAATATATATAATTTTGATTGTAACAAACAAACCCATTTAACTTGAAAAAGAGCCCCAGGGAGACCAGAGATTCAAAACCTAGGGAAATCTAAACTTGCTTCATTTAGGGCTTTAGCATTGCAGGGAGGGCTAGGCTGTACGGAAAATAATATGGTTCAGGGACAGTGAGACAGACTAAATGTGAAATAAAAATGTTTCAACCTCAAAGTCAACAAAAAATATATATTTGACCTACATCATCAGGTTCATTCACGATTTTGCCATCAGATTCAGTTAAAGACAAAAGAAGCAGATTCCAATGTATATCATTCCTAATTGCATCCAGAGATTCAGATTGAAAGAAAGCAGATGGGAACTGAATACTGACTACATCTTCTAATTCTGTACGAGTGCAACAAATACAAAGTAGTCATATCCTCTCACAAATTCCTTCCTGCGAACTGGATCCGTGATTGACGAGCGACGTCAATAGTTGTCTTTCTCTTGCGTTATTTCCGCTAATTATCTGATCAGCATCCGTACAGGAAGAATAGTGTTAGGGATGTCCAGCATGATACTAGCGGTCTGCAACTGCTGCTGCGTTGTCACATCTTCCTTGTCCTTATCTTTGAGAAACAACGTATTTGTGATCACAGGACTCACAACCTTGATGTCAATAAAGTTTCAGGATACGAATACTGTAAACTGATGTAGGACTCAGAGCTCTGACACCTCTAGCAGCTACTGCAGATAATAAGTGTCCTCCATTTCATTAAACGTTCGGTATTGCTAAGTAAAGGCTACTTATGTTTTTTGAGAAAAACTAACTGTCCCAATAATCTTTGCTTGAAATGAACTGTCCAATGCACACACAGCTATGAATAAACAATGCCATTTAGAAAGTGGTCAAATGTAACATATGTTATATTTTAGAGTACAGATTCTTGTACTTTTCCTGGGTTGAGTCTCATCCGCTGAGCGGGTTAGGTGTCTGATTTGTGTGCTGTCGATTAGGTGCCTGAATCTGAGAGTATGGGTTCAAATCCCAGATAGGATGCAACCCAGGAAAAGTACTAGAATCTGTACTTCACTAAGAAAGTGTAATCCCAAATATAAGATATGTTACATTTGACCACTTTCTAAATGGCATAATGTAGTCACAGCTTTCGGCCATGGGAGCTGGCACGTGCCAATTTATACTTATCAGAGGGGTGCATAAAATCTGTGGTCTAGACTACCAGTTGTCCGACTTCCATTTTTATGGAAGTCGCAGTGGCTGACTTTAGGCCTCTGACTTTGTGTGCTGTCGACGACTGACTCTGAGGGTGTGGGTTCGAATCCTGGGAGGGACTCAACTGTATGTGTCTGTGGAATCCACAGGAATTAGGCAACCATAATCCAGAGGGAATGTTTACGCCTATAATTTCTGTACTTTACTGAGAAAGTGTAATCCCAAATATAACATATGTTACACACAGCTATGTCACCTAGCCATTGTCTTGGTATGTGTTATCAATAATCTAGTCATGTACTATTTATAAAGTAATGAATTTTTCTTTATAATGCTTCATCTAGCAAAATTCTATACATTAAATAAATTATCCTTCATCTAATTATGTACTATGCTTAATCTATCTATGTGTGACACATGTAGGGACGTTATTTCATCTATTACTCTTTTTCCTCATCTCACACTCTACTATTCTACATCTAGCCATGTACTGTACTTCATCTGTTGATGATTTATCTCACACTCTACTATTCTACATCTAGCCATGTACTGTACTTCATCTGTTGATGATTTATCTCACACTCTACTATTCTACATCTAGCTATGTACTGTACTTCTTCTGTTGATGATTTATCTCATACTCTACTATTCTACATCTAGCCATGTACTGTACTTCATCTGTTGATGATTTATCTCACACTCTACTATTCTACATCTAGCCATGTACTGTACTTCATCTGTTGATGATTTATCTCACACTCTACTATTCTACATCTAGCTACGTACTGTACTTCTTCTGTTGATGATTTATCTCATACTCTACTATTCTACATCTAGCCATGTACTGTACTTCATCTGTTGATGATTTATCTCACACTCTACTATTCTACATCTAGCCATGTACTTTACTTCTTCTGTTGATGATTTATCTCATACTCTACTATTCTACATCTAGCCATGTACTGTACTTCATCTGTTGATGATTTATCTCACACTCTACTATTCTACATCTAGCCATGTACTTTACTACCCACGTGGTCAACGTATGGGTAGTTGCATACTATTCTCGTACGTCACACGACTGTCGTATCTCGTTGACCTGTGTCGTAACGACTTGACCTGAGATTCTAACGATTTGATTGGATAACCGATGACTTCTCAATTAGGTCACATTCTGACGTAACTATTTTTTCATTCATAACAAACACGTGAATTCATTCATTCTACAACTTAAATGCATTGTGGGAATGTAAACATTGCGAACGTTGACGTGTCGCTGTTTAATTGTGAGTCGAACTGAGACATCATATCCGTCGAAAAACATAAACCCAATGTTTCCACCAGTGATGTTAGCCGAATGAAGCAACTGCAAACCAAGAAACGGGGTGCAACGG